TATACACTAAGGATAAGGAAACAGAGAGGGAAATCAAAGAAGCATCACCTTTCACGATAGCCACAAAAAGCATAAAATATCTTGGGGTAACCCTGACCAAGGAAGTGAAAGATCTATTTGACAAGAACTTTAAGTCTTTGAAGAAAGAAATAAAAGAGGACACCAGAAAATGGAAGGATCTCCCTTGCTCTTGGATTGGGAGGATCAACATAGTAAAAATGGCAATTCTACCAAAAGCAATCTATAGATTCAATGCAATCCCCATCAAAATCCCATTAAAATTCTTCACAGTTCTGGAGAAGACAATAATCAACATTATATGGAAAGACAAAAAACCCAGGATAGCCAAAATACAAGAAAGGAACATCTGGAGGCATTACCATCCCTGACTTCAAACTCTATTACAGAGCTACAGTATTGAAAACAGCTTGGTATTGGCATAAAAACAGAGAAGTCGACCAATGGAATCGAATAGAAGACCCTGACTTTAACCCACAAACCTATGAACACCTGATTTTCGATAAAGGACCTAAAGGTATACAATGGAAAAAAGAGAGCATCTTCAACAAATTGTGCTGGCAAAACTGGATGTCAATCTGTAGAAGAATGAAAATAGACCCATATCTATCACCATGCACAAAACTCAAGTCCAAGTGGATTAAAGACCTCAATATCAGTCCAAACACACTGAACCTGATTGAAGAGAAAGTGGGAAGTACTCTACAACACGTGGGCACAGGAGACCACTTCCTACGTATAACCCCAGCAGCACAGACACTAAGGGCCTTATTGAATAAATGGGACCTCCTGAGACTGAGAAGCTTCTGTAAAGCAAAGGACACTGTCACTAAGACAGAAAGGCAACCCACTGACTGGGAGAAGATCTTCACCAACCCTGCAACTGACAAAGGTCTGATCTCCAAAATATATAAAGAACTCAAGAAACTAGACCGTAAAAGGCTAATCAACCCAATTATAAAATGGGGCACTGAGCTGAACAGAGAATTCTCAACAGAAGAAGTTCAAATGGCCAAAAGACACTTAAGGTCATGCTCAACTTCCTTAGCGATCAGGGAAATGCAAATCAAGACAACTTTAAGATACCATCTTACACCTGTCAGAATGGCGAAAATCAAAAACACCAATGATAGCCTTTGTTGGAGAGGTTGTGGAAAAAGGAGTACACTCACCCATTGCTGGTGGGAATGCAAACTTGTGCAACCACTCTGGAAAGCAGTGTGGCAGTTTCTCAGGAAATTTGGGATCAACCTACCCATGGACCCAGCAATACCACTCTTGGGAATATACCCAAGAGAGGCCTTATCATACAACAAAAGTATATGCTCTACTATGTTCATAGCAGCATTGTTTGTAATAGCCAGAACTCTTTTACCACAATCTCAAATTTGGTGCAGAGATCATTGGTCCTGATAGAGTTTAATCAAAAACTTGTTTATGATTGGGTTGAGTCTGTGGTGTTTTACCAGGGGTCATAACCTAACTAAAAAGCTCATTGAAATTGATAGACTTTGGGTCTGGTTAATTTTGGTGTGTGATCTTTTCTATTTGCATGGTTTTTATAATAAACATTTATTTTTAAAGTATATACACACACATTGGGGGAAAGTCTCTTTGAAAAATAATGTTAAATAAAATTGGATATTACATGTGAAAGAATGAAATTCTTTATTTCCCACCCTGAAAAAAAAAAAAAAAAAAACAACACAAAATGGCTTTGATGTAAAACTTGGAAAAACAAAACTGAGATTGTTGGAGGAACACAGGGAAAATACTTGAGGATTTCTTCATGGGCAAAATAATCCCTAGAGTTGACAAATGGGACTGCCTGAAATGAAAAAGCTCCTCTTAGGAAGGATAAAATTACTCAAGCAAAGAGAAAGCAAAGAGAGAGACTATGGGATGGGAAAAAGTCTTTGCCAGGCCTATATCTGACATCATATAAAAAAAAGTCATCTGATAAATGAGCTAATGAACTGAACAGACTGTTATCAAAGAAGTATAAATGCTCAATAAGTGATTGAAACCCGTGTTCAGCATCTTCAACATGTTTAAGCCATCAAAAATGCAAATAAAAATTCTTTTGACCATTCATCTCACCCTAATCAGAATGGTTACCAAGAAAACAAATGGTGTTGAGGATGCGGGGAAAGAGGAATATTTACACACTCTGGTGGGAGCACAGTCTGGTGCAGCCACTATGGAAATCCTCACAGCAGAAAGCAGAACATGATCCAGCTATTCTACTCCTGGGCATATATCCAAAGGATTGTGAGTCAGTGCATCATGGAGATACAATAGCCCAGATGGAACTATGAGAGAGTAGATGGAGCTAGAGAAATAAGCCAGACTTGGAAACAGTATTTTCTCTTATCGGTGGAATCTAGATTTAAATTTAAATGTGAGTGTACATGGATAAATGGATGGATGGACAGAAAGATTCTAGTTAATATAGAAGAACTATGAAAGTTGAAGATGAGGCCCTAGAGGTTGATGATAGACAGACAGATCTAATGGGAGAGAGAGATTGAAGGACTAGGAAAGTTGAGGAAGATACCCAACAGTCAATGGCAGGATGCAGTGAAGAACGACCTCTGGAGCCCGACCTTTTCTGAGAGGACCATCCTTCCAGTGCTATCTCTGTGCCCCCTCGTGCAGTACATTTCCTTGTTTCTGTTATCTTTGGCATATGTGACCCAGATGGACTTCTGGTTGGTTCTGTCAATATCAAAAGGGGTGGCCACTCAAGCTCCCAGAACGAACCTCCCTCTTAATAGCCTCCAGCTTTGCAATTAATTTCAAGATTTGCTCTTATCCAGGGAGAAAGGACCAGGCTCCAGACCTGCTGGGTTCCAGCTCCTAGGCCTCAAAGTGGCACTTCCTACAAGCCTTCACTAATCCCAAGCACTAACCTGCCGTAGAAAGTCTTACAGCTAGTGGTTACCCGCCCATTGGGGCGAGGCCTCTTCTATATGCTGATGCAGAGCCTGCGTCCAGCCTCTTTTCTAGTTGTGGATTTTGGTTTCTGATCTCCATTCCAGCAGAGGATTCTGATTTGTGGATGGGATAATAGATTAGTATGAGCTTACTCACACTAATAATAATAGTAATAGAGTGAATACTTGTGAGTTATTATTTATAGGCAATTACATAGGTATAGATTCTTATATGTTGATACAAAGTTAAATAATATTGAATATTATGCATGCATGCTTCTACCTCTGCTTAAAACATCTTTATATATTGATATATATTTGTCATACAATGTACATTTCTACCTCTGATCAAGATACTTATACATTGTTTACATTTTGAGGTCATTGTCCTTATTTGTTACACAATTGTTTATTGTATAATATTCTAATATAAAGTCCTAGTCTTTAAGTTATATAGGTATTAAAAATAGTCATCTATGTTTGTCATACTTATAGTTATACTAATAAGGTTCTTTAGATGCACAGAGATTATATTTTGCATAGATAGGTAATCTTCAACAGCTTCAAAGAGCTGTAGAATAGAATATGGCATTTAAATAACTTTGAGTTCTGTTGAAGTGAGACACAATTGCTCCTGGCAGCACCAATCTATTCCTGAGAGAATGTTGAGCACCAAAGACACTTCACTTGGAGCTTGTTTTTTTCCTTGGTAAAACTGGCCTTTGGGCAAAGAAATGCCCATGCCTCATCCACTGACAAGATATATAGTATCCGGAAATGGATAAACAGGACTGTCAAATCTTGCCAAGACAGGGAAAAACAGTTTTGAAACTGTCAGTTATTCTAGGCCTTAGCCAAAGTTGGTTGCTTCAGCATTGCAAATGACACTTTGGGTGACTGCCCAGGTAGCCAGTTGTCTCTGTCATTTGTTGCACATTTTGGTGATGTGGGAGTGTCATATATCAATCTGTTGATTTCATTGGTTAAGTAATAAACACACTGCTTGGCCTCATAGGTTAAAGCATTGGTGGGAGGAATAAACAGAATAGGATCTGGGCAGAAGAGGAAGTGAGGTCAGACTCTGCTATGCTCCCGCAGAGACTCGACAACTCTGCTCTCTGGAGCAGAGACACCATGGACGGAGGCTAGAATCTTCCCGGTAAGCGCACCTTGGGGTGCTTACACACATCATTAGAAATGGGCTAGTCCAGGTGTGAGAATTAGCCTGTAAGGGCTAGAGTTCATGGGCCAAGCAGTTCTTAAATGAATACAGTTTGTGTGTTGTTATTTCGGGCATGAGCTAGTCAAGCGGCGGGGTGTTGGGGACACAGCCACGCCGTTCTTATTTCAACATTTTGGAAGTTGCTTGACTGCACTTCCTGCTTAGTCAAGTAATATTTTCCTTCTCAGGTCTTTGATGGGGTTGAAGACTAGAGAGTTGTAGTTAATTTTTTCTCATGACTTGGCCAAGTTATTTATTATACAAGACGTAAACTAGTTAGGTTAGGAAATTTAAACAAAAGGGGGAGGTGCTGTAGGAAGTCTTACAGCTAGTGGTTACCCGCCCACTGGGGCGAGGTCTCTTATACTATATATGCTGATGCAGAGCATGCATCCGGCCTCTTTGTTCCAGTTGTGGATTTCAGTTTCTGATCACCGTTCCAGCAGAGGATTCTGATTTGTGAGTTTCCCCCAAGTAAATAAGCGTCTATTTCTCAATTCTGAGCTAGTGTGGGATTTCTTTTAAGTGTCCTTTTTCACTAACCCTTCCAGAACTATTTCCATCACAGAATCCTACAGGATGGCACAGCAAGTGGCCTTAGAGGTGGTTGTGGTTTGAATGTGAAATGTCCCCCCAAATTCATTCATTTGAACACTTGGTTTCCAGATGATAGCAGTGTTTGGAGAGGTTGTGGAACCCTTAGGAAGTGGATCCTTGCTAGGGGAAATACATCACTCACTGGGGAGTGGACTTTGATGTATTATAGTGTTGTGCCCATAGTCTAGCCCCCACCCCCCGCAAAAAAAAAACCCACAGAGACCAGATCCAATGCAAAAGCAAAGAGTCTTTAATTACAAGTTAACTTGGGTCTTCTGTCCGTCCAACACAGTTGGTAGAGTAGGAGAGCCCCTGAGCTGCAGTGGGGCAGGGTATATATTAGGGTAGAACAAGAGGGTTATCTGGAGATCTGCTAGTTGCATAGTAACAGTCTCAGGACTGGCACACCGCCAGGCTGGGAGAACCTGTCCTGAGCTGATTGGTCGGCTGCAGCTGCAGAAAGGTTGCTATACCAGGAGGCCATGTGTGGGGGTGGGGTTACTGCATTCCACTACCATCAGTAAAGCAGATCCAGAACACACCAGCTAACTTCTGATTGGTTCCGTATCACATGGAGGACACCTGGCAGTTTTTTCCCAGTAATCAGGGCAAGGGAGGGCAAGAGAGGGCATGGCTGGGGCTTAGCACATCCTGCTGAGTCAGGGGCCTACGTCTTGCTGGTTCTTTTCTGCAGTCTGTCATGGCTGTCAAAGTGGGGGACTGAATGAGGGTCTGGGCCCTTCAATACCTTGGCCCCACTTCTTGTTTCCTCTCTGCTTCCAGACTGCAGAGGCAAAGCCTGTGGCCAGACTCCCGCTCTTGCTGCCACACCTTCCCCAGCATGCTCCCCAGTGTGAGCCAGAGGAAAGGCTGCTTTCTGCCGGTCTCTGTTCAGAAGAAATGGAACTGATAGAAAGACCATGTTTCACTCTCTTTGGGCACAAATACCAAGACTGAGGATAACATGTCAGGTTGGCCTTTCCACTGAGCCACCCCATACAATGCCACATTGGGCACAGACCCACGTGCTGTGGCCACATCCAGTACAGTGTAGCAAGACAAACCTCTCATAGCATCTTGCAGCATGGCTATAGGGCTGCCCTGATAGTCATTAGTGCCTTTAGAAACAGCCTGTGGTCTCAGAGACAAATGTAGCCATCTGCTTCAAAAGGAAAAAGAAAAGTCCCTGTAGATCTGGGAGAGACAGAGAAGCCTAAAAAATAGTAGATCATGTTACGGTGTTAGAAGTGAAAACTGCTAAGGTTTGTTTTTGATCATGATTAAATGCAAGAGAAAAGGTTTCCACTCTGAGGATGATACATGGTCTGGGCTAACAGGACTCAATATCGTACCCTTGTGGCCTTGAGTATCTATCTGGACAAGCCCGGGCAAGCCTAATCTACCTTCCTTCAAGTGTCAAACTTTCACATAGCTCTGTAGGGTGACAATAAGGCCAACATGGAACTTGTGACAGGAAGGAATGAGGGAGGCAGCAACATCAAGTCTGCCTCCATAGGTCTGACCATCACACCAGCACAGGGTTTTGGAAGAGGATTCTATCCCTGGGGCCCACACAAACAGAAGGGGCAGATGACCTGAGGAGATGGCTCAGTAGGTTAAGTGCTTTGTTGTGTAAGTCTAAACACATAGTTCAGATCCCAGGACCCATGCTAAAAAGAAAAAATAAAGCAGAGTCAGAGGTGGCAATGTAAACCCACAACCCCAGAACTGTGAAATGTAGGCAGGAGAATCCTTGGGACTTGACGGCCAGAGAGTCTAGAAAAACAGTGAGCTCTGGGTTCGATGAGACCCTATCTCAAAAACTAAGGTGGAGAGTGATAATGGAAGACTCCTGACACTGATCTCTGACCTTTACACACACACTCACAGGCAAGTGTGTGCACGCATGCACACATACACAAACATGTAAATAATAAAAAAGGAATAGCAGAGGCAGGCTTTACCCTTGGCCTGAGACTAGTCTCCTTGTAACCATAGACCATGACTCTCCCTCCACTTTCTCAATTCTTCCAGCACCTGGGACTTAGACTTGCCTTCACTGCAGGTTGCTTCTGGGGTCCTGCAGTTCTGGGTACTACAATGTGATACTCTGAAGTTTTGACAACAGGGTCCTGAGCCAGGTAGGGCACTTCCAACCCTGACGCTTCATATAGCACACTTAATGGGAACACGTCAGGTCCCAAATGCTCAGTTCACTCTCCTCTTTGTTTCGCACAGCACAACTTCATATCTGGAAGCCTAAACACAAGGACTTGGTGGCTGCACAGCTGCAACCACCATCTAATGCACCTCTTGGCAGATGACAGACAGCAGGGCATGACAGGAGGCATGCAGAGGAGGATGCATCAGGTAACAGACTACTGATTTTCAACGAACCTCATTCATCAGCCAGAGGACTGCAGGCTCCAGTTCTGCATGGGTCCCTGTGGAGAGGGGCAGCACAGGCCTACTTCTGGAGAAAAGGAAGGTGAAGGAGAAGGAAAGAGGCTACATGCAAGTTGAACAGAATGGATACCTGCATCCACCAGTATCTGCACACAGAATGGTACATCCATCCATCAGTATCTGCACATAGAATGGTACATCCATCCATCAGTATCTGCACACAGAATGGGTACATCCATCCATCAGTATCTGCATACAGAATGGTACATACATCCACGAGTATCTGCACACAGAATGGGTACCTGCATCCACCAGTATCTGCACACAGAATGGGTACCTGCATCCACCAGTATCTGCACACACAGGTTACACAAACTGACCTTTATTTGCCGTACTGAAGTCTGGTTTGTTTTTGATACAAAGTAACATTTTAGTACAGCATATCCCACCTATCAGAGCCACACCTGCTTGTCCAATGAGGGCAGAACCAGGCCTATGCCCAGGGAAACAGTCCTTGTCCCGCAACTGTGCGTGGAAGACCTTAAGAGGGGTCGGCAGAATCTCAGTTGTCTGAGCTAGAAAATGTGTGCCTGTAAGGCGCAGAACAGCCTTGAGGGCTGCAACTCTTCTCTCTCTTTTTAAACAGCTGTGCAAGAAAATATATCCCTTTTAAAAAAATTGTCAATAATGACTAAACTACAATCTAATGTCTAGAGTTACAAAGAATAAAATGAAATCAAAGATTTCTTGCTAGTAAAATGAAATGTTAGGAACAGTATTAAAATATAGATCCTACCCCAATGACACACAGAACCCAGTACAGTACCTATTAATGGGGCACACAGTTGAAGAAGGGACTGCATCAGCTCTTTAGCAGATAGATCTGGCATAAGAAGTGGAGATGCGGGGCAGGGGCGGGGTGAGAAAAATGAATTAAAAAAAAGAAACCCAACAAAGAATGGAGATGTCCTCGTGGAGTCAGGCTGAGAATGTTGTAACCAAGATGAAAAAGCACCCAGGTTTTCTTCTTCCATTTTCCATAGGCGTGTCTAGCCATTATGCCCACTACAAGTTCTTATTTCAGTTTGTGACATGAATAGTGTCCTGCCAGAAAGAGCTGGTACAGGTACACCTGTGCCAGTTTTAAGGGTTACCCTGCAACCTTGCACTGACAAAGACTGCTGGGTATCTCAGAGCCTTTGGGAACCAATGGCATGCCCATGCTCCCGCCCTCCCCACCAGCTAAGGATCCAACTGTGTCATCTAGGAACCACGAAGCCCTGATGGACTAGACATGATGCTTAAATATAAACACAGCTGGAGAAGAAACAAGAGGCCAGGGATGCAGGAGGAAGGCCAAGAGGCGAATCTGCAAGAATGCCAAAGCTTCCTTCCGGGTGTGGGAAGGAAGTGCTGCCACAGCAAGTGGGCCCCACCAAGGCACTGGTTCTGGTACCAACAGTGGTCTGAGCACCTGCAGTTGTGATATCTTCCAGGAGAGGAGCCACCAAGGAACAGGAAGTCTGTCACAGCTCTGGTCCCACTGATAGGAACCTCCTGTAGCAAAGCAGCTCCCCCTGAACAAGGTTCCTGCCCAAGACAGGAACATCAAACCAAAAGGAAATGACAGAGGGTGTTGGGATCAAGGGCTGGGCACCGACAACATGGAGCTATTCAAGTAAACATAGACAACCAAATACTTGGAAAAGGCTTGTAAACTTCTGATTAGCGAGGTCCTGGGCACAGCACCTCTGCTCGGCTGGCTAAGGGAGAATCAAGTCTTTTGTGTTTCTGCTTTTCTGTTTCAAAGTGGACATGCATGAGTGTGCCATCCACCAGCTGGGCCCAAATCTTTGTGGCTCTCTGCTTACAAAGGAGGTGTTGCTGGAGTCCTGGTTCCCAGTTCTTACCAGCTTGTCCACAGAAAGACAGACATCTAGTAGCTGAAAGAGTCAGCAAGCTGTCCCCACCATCTGGTCATGGAGTTTCCTCTGGTCCAGCTTTCTGCTAAGGTGGGCAAGCAGGGATCCACAGGACTTTACTTTGTTCTTGATTGACCATTGCCAGGATCTGAGTGCAAATGCCCGACAGGGCTCCTCCTTGGACAACCCCTGCAGAAGAACCCACCAAACACAAGCAGGTTGGGTCAGCTCTAAGTAAGACATTCCCACCCATCAAGGGATATGAACACTCTGGCTGTGGGCTCTCTGACTCTCCCTGACTCTCCTCCTTCAGCAGGGAATTGGGCAAAAGAGAAACCTTCCCCTAGGGAAGTTGACTGCTCACAAATTGCCCACAATGGCAAGTCGGGGGTGGGGGTGTCGGCTTTGCCCGCCCTCTACTGGTTAGGGGGAATGAAGCGGCATGTTAGGATTGTTTCACTGCCAGCAGGACTCTGGGACAACAACCACTAGCAGGATGGAGGAGGACTAGTGCCCAGGTTAGCAAGCTAGTGGTTAGCAAGGCACAGTGGGCAGAATACACCCACAGAGGGCCAGTTAACAATCACAAAGTGTGAAGTTTATGTGTTTTATTTCTGTTTAACCTAATTTTTAAAAATAAGCATATAGTTAAGTTTGTCCATTTTTTTTAACATTTTCTTTTTTTTTTCCTATTGGTTTACTGGTCTTTGATAAACTGGAAATGAAAATAGGACCAGGTTGAGCCCCCTGGAAGTGCTCTATAGGTCCTAACCCTTTTTGTGATGTGCTAAAATGCTCCCCTAGCTCCTACAGACGGTTGACTTCACCCAACAGAGGTGGGGAAGCAGGAAACCTGCATCCACAGGAGGCTCGTTCAGCAAGCAGAGATGCCAAAACTGGCCTTGCCTCATCAGTCCACCTTACCTCTCACTCCCCCTAAGACTGGCCCTGGGCAGCTCTCAGGACAGACAGCTGTCTGCACTGCTGGCTCACCTGGGTTCTTGGGTTCCCAACCTGTCTGGGAGTCACCACAGTTATGCTGCTGAGTCTTTGTGCTGAGACAGTTCCTACTGCATGCTGTGGATGAGGCTAGACCATGCCCAAAGGCCAGTGTGTATAACCCTGCCACCTGGCACAGCTTAGACACTGGCTGGACCTGTAAGTAAAATGTCTATGTACCGAAGGTATATGGCAGCTCAGGCTAGACTGTCCAGGAAAACTGGGCTACTTTCATTCCTAGAACTTGTGACCTGAGGAAAACTGCTACTGGCTGGGCCCACAGCCACTTACCTGTGAAGTACCTGCTGTACTCTTGGTCAATCTTCTGTGCCGTCTCAAATTGCTCTTTGGAGTGCCTGTGTGTCACCTTGTCCCTCAGGTAGACAGGGTCTCTTTGTTCCCTGTAGGGATAGCCAGGGAACTACGGTGAGTCTCAAACCTGACCCCAGGTTCCTTCTTCCTTCCTTGATCCAGGAAGACAGGGCTGAGCTAGGGCAGGAGCATTTAGGGTACTTTCCCATAAATCAGTAGCCTCTAGGCTATATGGAGAACCCTGGGCTGACAGGGAATCTGGGCACCTCAGTACCCCAGTGCATGGACAAAGCCAGCAGACACACTAGCTGTCTCCAATCAGAAGCACCAGGAGCTCAACAGCACAGAAAAGTCAGTGAGTGCAGCTGAGCTGGACTTAGCTCAGACTACACTATTCCCCTGGCCTTCTACACAACATGAGAGGAAAGGGGGCGGGATGGGGGGGGGGGGAGCTGTAGACAAAGCCAGCTATTCTCGGAAAGTGTGGTTGTGCCCAGACAGGATGGAGCTGGTAAACTCGGCTAGCATCTCTACACACAAGCCCAGGGTCAGGGGGAGTGTTATGCTCCAGCACAGGACCTAACAGGGCCAGACACCCACTTGATGTGCTTGGCGCTCTTGTAGCGGATGAAGATGACAATGGGGTAGATGTGCATATGGTGCAGCCTCTCGATGGCATGCGGTGCGATGTCCAGAAGACAGTGCCGGTTCTGAGAGACAATGGCGGAAGGTAGGTAAGTACATAGTGCAGACAGAGGACGTGTCTTTTGTCTCCCAGAGGACCCACCCTTGCCCCACCCCCACACAACTCTACCTTCCTCTACACTCAGAAATACCAGGCAGCAAAAGCCGGATTTCAGCAAAGTCACTTAGGAAGGGAGAATTGGTGATTATACCTCCCACTCCCCAACTGATGGCTGCTGAGGTGGGAGTGGGAACTGGCCAGCAAGCCACACCTCAAGATGGGAACTATACTGGTTGGTTTTGTGAGTCAACCTGACACAAGATAGAGTCATTAGAAAGGAAGAAGCCTCAGTTGAGGAAGTGCCTCAACGAGAGCCAGCTGTAAGGCATCTTCTCAACTAGTGAACAACTAGCCTGTGGTGGGTGGGTGATGCCATCCCTGGGTCCTGGATTCTATAAGAAGGTGGTCTTAGCAAGCCATAGGAAGCAAGCCAGTAAGTAGTACTCCTTCAAGACTGCTGTATCAGCTCCAGCCTCCAGGATCCTGCCCTCTTTGAATTTCTGTCTTGACTTCCTTTGGTGATGAATAGCAATGTGGAAGTGGAAGTGAAATAAACCCTTTCCCAGCCAATTTGCTTTTAGGTCACGGTGTTTCCTCGCAGCAATATAAATCCTCAGATAGGGACTTTTCTGGGGCCCCATCCTATCCTGGCCTCACAAATCTGCTCTACTGAACAAGAGTGGAGACTCTGGGATTTGTGGGTGGGGCATGCAAGCTTTGCATTGACTATGAAGGAAACACATCCCATGAGCCCCTCCGCCTCCAGGGTGGGGGTCAGCATAAGACCACAGCACTCTGTGCACCTCTCGGTGGATGTGTTTCCTAACTGAAGCTTTTCCCCATCAAAAAAATAAGCATTACAACCATAAGAAGCTCACATTTTCTGGAAGAAGAGGGAACTGCAGCCCAGAGAAGTGGCTGGAGAAGCTCAGAGGCCAGAGGCTGAGGAGCAGGTAGGACTGGCTACTTCCCTAGCACACCTGGCAGCTAACCCATTCCCTGGCAAATGAACCCCAGGATGTCAAATGCATCAAGAAACAGTATTAGCTTTTATGGGGCCACAGACCTGGTAGGTGGCTCTCTGTATGCATGTGTTCAGGGACCCATCCCAGAATGGTCTAGAAGGCCTCCCCGGAGTTCAAAGCTCTCCTTAGTGCCCTTCAGAGAGCAGAGGCTGTGGGTACCCAAAGTGTTGACTCCTAGGTCCGTCTATGGGTCTGTGTGCTAGTGGTGAAGGCAGAGACTCATAGCATCACGGAGGATGAGACCAAGGGCAGGAGGTCTCAGATAGCTAGGGTATGGTGAGCTGGGCTGAGGCGTAAGAGCCAGGGCAGAGGGCCCTGGATATTAGAGGAGCCCAGTTGTGTCAATGTTCTAGGTACCTTTTCTGTGATCTCCTTTATTGAAGCCACGGTGGTAACGTCAAAATGGCCACTCCTCCGCTTGTAGTCCACAAACAGGCAGTCTTTGACACCCCGCTCAATGGCTTGCTGGGAGGCCTTCATCACCTCTGTATGGTAAGATGCAGAAGTCAGGGTGCTGGATGCACAGAGGCCCCGATGCAGAGGGCCACACTGGTCAGCAGCACGGATACCCACACTGCCTGCTCTCCTGGAGAGAACGGAGGCCACAGGTGGCTCTCTCCATCGGTAGGCCCTTAGACGCTGTATGCCAATTTCTCTGCGTGGCCAGAAAAGTAGGTGCACAAGAACAGACACAACCTAAAAGGCAGAGGCACCCCTTACCAAGTGGGCATCTGCAGAACTTTCCAGGTGCTTCACTGACCAGCATCTCCTTCACCACATCCAGTAAAGGCCCCAGGATGAGGACAGGCCGCAGAGAGGTACAGTCCACCTTCTGGACCCGCTGATAGGCCAGGCTCACTGAGTCTAAGAGACAAGAGAAGGCAGGGTCATGGGCCCCGCCTGGACAGAGGAAGAAAGCAAAACTGGGCAGCCATGGCCCCGACCTTGCTCATGTAAATAGGCCCACCATAACCTTAGTTACCTGGACAGGTCTGTCGTCTTTGTCTCACAAAAGCAGGCCAGCCACAGTGACCTGGTTTAAATCAGGCACACAAGGGCACAACCACTAATGAAGTCATTCAGGAGACTGCAAGAGTCTTTCTGCCACTGAGGATGCTGGGACAACAGACATCCAATAATCTTACCCTTCATTCTACTCTAGGTCTTCCTCAGTTATCCACGCCCACCGCACCCACACCGTACATCTCTGCTCACTAGAGATGTGGCTCTAACGTTTGGAAGCCATAGTCTCCTCCGTAGGTATGGTTACTTGGACATGGGAGAATAGAGGTGATGCAATTATGTCTTTGGACCAGAAAAGATGGTGTGTACGCCAGTTCTGCCCGTAGAGATGGTGACAACCCTTAGGAACTGTCTGTGCTAGAAGACAGAAGGGACCTGGGTTTTCAACACAGGGCCACGTCCCTGGGCTGCCCACCAGGTCAGACCATGTGTGATACACAGAAGAGTGCTTTGGGAGGCTTCAGCCGCCTCTCTCTGGTATAGTTCTAGTGATCATGCCACTTTCCCAGTTAACAGGCAAGGTAAATCCCCCGCATCGAGTGTACAAAGTTCTCACAGGAAGAAATGGTCAGGAAGGTAGCAGGGAACTGCCTTCCTAGAGACTCCCTAATGGTGCTTGCTGGCTTCTCAGAAACACAAAAAGATACAAAGTGTCCGGTCTCTGCCCTTTGGAAGCTCATGCTAAATGGAGCCACAAGGGAGCAAGACTAGACACCCAGACTGATGCTGCATCAGGAGTCCAGGTACAAGAATGGAAGTGTTAGGTGAGTACTGGGGTGAGCTAGCTCAAACTGGATGAGAGCAAAGAACAGGCTGGAAGAGGACACAAGATGACTTCGGTAGGCAGCTGCAGGAAGATAGGACTCTGTAGGGTCTGCACGCTTTTGTGGAGGTGCTACAGATAGAAGACACAGCTACCTGGGAGCACAAACACCCATTCTCTGCAGAGACCAACCCCATGGGCAGAACAAAGAAAGTAAATACAGTCTTGTCTCACATCAACCAGCATTCCGTGTGTTTGCATTTGAAGATGGATTATACAAGTGTCTATATGGTACTTCTTAAGCTGGGGAGCAGCTGGTCTGTGATCTACATTCACGACCTTGGAATGTCCATGCACTTTCTCTTTAAAACAGAGACACAGATGTAGCCAATATAGCTGACCCCTCCACACTAGCCTCCTCAGATGCAACCATTACTCTGAGTCAGAAGTGTATCTTTTCCACATGACTCTTATTACTGTAAGCTAATTTTTAAAGACTGAGGAAAAACCCCTAGCAAATAAGGTATATGTGTGTGTGTGTGGGGGGGGGATGGTGTTATATTCAACAAAAATAACATGATACTATGAATGGCTTGTAGCTTCATCTCCCCACAGAATGCATCACAGGAATTCATGGTCCTCCCCCGAGGACTCTGCAATATTTCATGCACAGGTAAAATGTAAACCTGGACAAAATGCTGCTGCCAAGACCCTAGGAACTCAGGTAGAGTATGTAGGAAATACCCAATAGCAAATGAGACAAAAAAAAAAAATGGAGTTTAGGACAGTCACAGCAGCCACAATTGGAAGAACCAAAAATGCAGCAAGAAGGGAGGAGGCAAGAACCAAGTCCATGAAACTGGTGAAATAGCTCAATGGGTATGAGTGTCTCCTCTACAAGCATGAGCTCCCGGGCCTCAATCCCCAAGCACGCATGTGAAAGGCCAGGCATGGACACCTGGCTATAACCCAGCAATACAGGACAGCGCTATGAGGGATTGCTGGCTGCCAGCCTAGCTCCTGGTTCAGTGAGAGACCCTGCTCAAAGAAACAAAGCAAAGAGTCCTTCTCTGGTCTCTTTACATGCTCAACCATAAACACAAATGTGCATATAATTAATATATTTAATTATAATATGTATATCTATATATATCCCCACTCACAAGTAAATACAAAGAAAATAAGAAGAAGTCTAAATCAGAGGCTTTCTCTGAATCCCTTGCCAAATTCCAAAGCTTTGAGGCACAAAGCTAAATGTGTAAGGAAAACAGAAAACCATGGAGCAAAGTGTCCCACTGACTCTTGTGTGGAAAAGAGAAAGGCTGCCCCTGGGAGGAGGCCCAGGCCAGGGTGAGCTCAGCATCCCCTTGGACCCAGGTGGCCATCGGTGCTGGCTCACAAGGCACTGGAGCTCCACTCTCGGAATGTCAAGAAGAGGAGGTGTTAAGGCTGACAGTCTCCAGGCACGTTTACGGAGCAGACCAAAAAGAGCAAAGTCGACTCTGAGATGACCAATGGGGGCAGATGTTGGATAGTCCTCACAGATGCCGAGACTTTAATCAAAAGATCCGGAAAGTCTTGGCAGAGAATGAAAGCCTGTTACAAATATCAAATAGAAACTCTGGCACTAGGCAAGGCAGCTTCTGAAATTAAGACATGGAACACCAAAGATGAGCTAGACACTGAGCAGGGTAAAGGACACTGGTAAGCATCCTGGCTGGCTGAAGCATTGAGAGAAAACGCTTGAAAAGAATAGGGGAAGCGTGCAAAGACAGGAGACCAACAAGACCTGGACAGGGAACTCAGAGGAGAGCGATGAAAAGACCACAGAGGCAGCAGCAAGCTATAGACTTAAGGACAAGAAGGTAAACATACCTGGGCAGCATAGTGAGGCCTGATGCTAGGAACAGAGACAATGCCAAGACCCACTGGGCCTAGGGGATGTGACCTTCAGCATAAAAACATTAGAAGCAACCCTCCCGGAAACAGTGGTAGGTTAAAATGCATCTTTAAGGGCTGGGTCACTTTTTGTCTTATTTAGGGTTCACAGGCGGTTTGAAGAAAAATGACCCCCCCCAGGGGGAGTGGCACTATTAGGAGGTGTGGCCATGTAAGAGTATGTGTGGCTTTGTTGGAGGAAGTGCATCACTGTGATGTTGGGCTGTGAGGCTCCTATGCTCAAGTTATACTCAGTGAGACAGACCACTTCCTGTGGTCCAGATGTAAGGACTTTCATAACTGCATGCTGCCTTGTTGACACCATGACAATGGACCACACCTCTGAAAATGTAAGCCACCCCAATCAAATGCTTTTCCTTTGCCTTTGTAAGAGTTGTCACAATCATGGCCTTCGCAGCAATAAAAAAACCTGCAATGAAACTCATTGCAATGAAATTCATTGCTGCAATGAAACACAATGACCAAAAAGCAAGTCAGGGAGGAAAGGGTTATCTGGCTTACACTCCAGCATTGCAGCTCATCACTGAGGGAAGTCAAGACACAAACTCAAACAGGAGCTGATGCAGAGGACATGGAGGGGAGCTGCTTACTGGCTTGCTTCCCCTGGCTTGTTCAGCTTGCTTTCTTATAGAACCCAGGACTACCAGCTGAGGTATGACCCCACCCACAAAGGCTGGCCTTCCCCCACTGATCACTAGTTAAGAAACTACATCTCATGAGACACTTCCTCAACTGAGGGTCCTTCTTCTCTGATGACTTTAGTTTGCCAAACTGACATAAAACTAGCCAGTTTTGTGACTTCTTGATCCCAACAACCTGTGACTCTTATTTTTTTTTTTTCTAGTGAGAAAGTTCTCCTGGGTTGTCTGGGGAGAGCCTAAATGCCCTCACAGGTGTTCCTGCCATAAAAGGGAATTTTGAAGCAGACACACATGGCAGAGAAAGGGTCGTCAAGAAGGAGTAGAAAGAGGTTTCAAGATAATAGTGATGTGTCCACCAGCAAACGAATGTTGGTAGCCACTGCTCAGAACCAACAAAGGCTAGGAGCAGAAGCATCCTTCAGAGCTTGCAGGGCAGTGGAGGCTCTGGCACCTTCAGGCTGACCTGGTGGCATTAGTATTAAGACATCTGGCTTTTAGAATGAATAGACATTTTGTTAAGTTACTTTTTAGTGATTTGTTACAGCAGCCATAAATACAACCCCGTTTGCATTTTGTGAGAGAGAGAATGTGTGTGTGTGTAGGCTAGAAGCTGGCAATAGGTGTCCTCCTTGATAACTCTCCTATAGCATTTATGGAAGTGCTGGGGAATCTGAACTCTGGTCCTTCGCTTTGCACAGGACAGCACTTGCTTTGCTCATGAAACAGTCTCCCCAGCTCCTTGAACAGCATTTTTTTCACATATGCCATATGTGGAGGTCGGAGGAAACACTCACAGAGTTAGGCCTTTCCTTACACCTTTGTGTGAGTTCAGGGAACAAACTCCAGTCACCAGGCTTACCTGACAAGTTCCTTTACCCCCCAAGTCAAAGGAAGCCAACCCTCTGGATTCAGTTTTGATTTCATGGATTCAAGCAATTGGGGATAGAAAATATTCAAATAGGTATCATTAAGCAATTTAGAGACCATTTAAGTATATGGGGAATGCACTTAGGCCAAATAAAACATCTGATTGACATGAGTTAACAAAATACCTGCGGGTCTGGATACCTAGAGGGGGCTTGGTACCAACTGTCTGACATACCAAGGTGTGGCTGTGTACACCAAGCTAAGGCTCTATATACAAGGAAAATTCTATAAAGTGGTAAAATGGACAATGTCTGACAAAACAAAATATGTCACGAAGCACAAATCAGACATTCTAAGAAATGTTGAAGAAAAGCAGAAAGATGACAAGATCAGACAAACGGAAGCAGGGGAAGGAATGACTAATGAAAGAGAATGAAGAGAACAGCGTGAAAACACTAACGCACACTGGGGTGACAACAGGCACACTACAGAAGCTGGGATGCAGTAAGTGGAGGGAGACTTCTTAGGTCACTACAGTGACCTGGGCTAGCAGGCAGTCAGATGCATATGTGTGTGGGGGGGGGGGCACTGAAATCTCCAAAGGACTACACACGGAAAACTGGAGAGGTAATAGAAACACTGGATTATTCCCAATATGGAGAGAAAGGAGAGACAAGGAAACATAAAAGAGGTGGAGTCAGCAAACACAAAGAAAAGACAGCATCCATTATAGTGACATTTGAAACGTTCTGATTTCACAGAAAGTGAAAACCTCTATCTGCCATCCATCAACACATTGATAGTCAGTTAATACTTTGATACAATGTGTTAAAACACTGGCTGCCAGCTAGTGAAATAAAAGCTACTCTGCCTTACCCTACACTCCAGGGACAGTAAATAAAACTACAACGAAGTTCAAAGTATGAACATAGCCAGAAAAAGGCCAAGTGTAAAGAGACTAAGCAAAAGAAAAAGAGTAGAAATAAAGCATCACACCTTCCAGATTTTTCAAAGGGGACACTACCGGAAATGAGGACATTTATCAGTGGTAAAAAGGTCACTTCAGGAAAACAATGATCCAGAAGGTATATGTTTCCAGTAACAGTTTCAAAATGAGTGGTGAGGCTGGAGAGACGGCTCAGCCACTAAGAGTACAGGTTATTCTTATTTCCAGCATCCCCATGGTGGTTCACAACCTTGTCTAACTCCAGTCCCAGGGGACCTGACACCCTCTTCTGGTCTCTGTAGGCACACACATGGTACACATACATACATGCAGGTAAAACATCCACACACATTAAAAATAAATATTTAAATTTTTAAAAAAATTAAGCAGTGCAGAAATTCCAAGAAACTGACACGGGCACACCTACCAGACCCTCACTGAACACGTGAGAGATGGCACCTGTGGAAGAAAGAAGTGGGCTGTCCCAGAGCACAGCCCAAAAGAAGGAAGGAGGAAGGCTAGAAACCCAAGAGATGACAGCAACTTGATTCTGTTACTAACAGGATAGTACATTTCAGGCTTTTGAGGTAAAAGGGAAAAAATGAGCTGACATTATCACTAAAAGACATATTTTTTACATATACACTTACACGCATGAAATCCCACACTAACGCTGTATGTTATACAGAAACTGAGAGCCGACTAGAGCTTCCCACAGGCTGTGGTCTATCCAGCCAGCATGATGGTGACAAGGAACATCGTACTGCACTTTATTTTACTTTTTTTTTTTTTTGAGACAGGGTCTTACTATGTAGCCCTGGCTGATTAATACACACACACACACACACACACACACACACACACACACACACACACACAGACACCAGGGTATCCTTGAACTCATAGAGATCTGCATACCTCTGCCTTCAAAGTGCTGAGATTAAAGGTATGTTCCACCACACCTGGCAAGATAAGAAGGAAAGAAAGAAGGAAAAAGGAAAGAGGGACCCATCAGTCCCACATTCTAGAACTGCCTGATGACCCCACACTCTGTCTGTCCAGGACACTGGATATCTACACAGCCCTAGGAACCACTCTGATGGCAAGGATCTGTTGCCACTCAGGACCAATGCCCTCCTTCTACAAGGGCCATCTTCTAGGAGGGCAGCTGACATTTCTAGTCCTCAGCTCCAGTCTTACTCAGCATTCTCTGGGAAGGATTTTGTCAAAGTCACCAATAAACATGTAAATGAAGCGAGACAGGCTGAACAGTGACCAACACAAGCCGGTCACAATGCACCGGTAATGGAAAAAGAAACTACGTCCTGGCCCAGGGCCTCTCGCTGAATGAACTTGGAGCTTCACCTTTCAGCGACGCTGGCCAGCCATGAGCCACCTCCCTCTTTCTTCATGCCTGTGCTGGGCTTACAGACACACCACACTTGGCTTTAATATCTGGATCTGAAGTCAGGCCACAGCACTTCACACACTCCCTGCCTCCCAAGTCCTGACACTCTCGCTGTGCCCTTCTTCTCGAAACAGGGCTGGAGGAACGAAGAAATATGGCGGCCAAGAGAAGACTTGAGGATTAAAGACACACACTGATGTTGACAGATTCTCAGACCATCCTGCCAGCCTGAATGTCTACTTCCAGACAAGTAAATAAAAAGTAAGGAACCTTTGGGAACCCCCCATAGCGAGGCTCTCCCACCCTGCCAACCCCACCCATGGAGCCCTTTGGAAGGAGCCCAGCACTTGCCTTCAAAGAGCGGAATGGAGTCATTGGAAAAGGTGTCCAGGGCGAGCAGATCTTTGCCGTCTTTAGACCCACTGCGTTTGTGTTTATGCCTCCTGCGGAAGAAGGACCGACGCGCAGCTGCCGACAGCGTCTTTGCTGTGCTGTCATCTCTGACCTCTGACATGCTAAGCCTCCTTGAGAACTCTTGGTCCATCCTGCAGTCAGAGAGAAGGACAATGCGGGTTGGGCCCTGGTAAGGAGGAAGCTAGGTTCCCCCAGCTCCCTGAGGCCTCCTAACTACCGGCCTTTTCCATGCTCCAGGAACCTCGGGCATCGCCACTACCACTGAGTCAGAGGTGTCTTTAAGAGACTGCGTCGTGAAGAATGGTTGGGTATTTACCCTCAGAAGTGATCAAAGGAGTCCTCTCAGAACCTCAGGTACTTCCTCCGGTGGAAAGTTATTAAAGAAAGGGCAAATCTGAGTCTTTTTTTTTTTTTTTTTTGGTTTTTCAAGACAGGGTTTCTCTGTGGCTTTGGAGCCTGTCCTGGAACTCGCTCTTGTAGACCAGGCTGGTCTCGAACTCACAGAGATCCACCTGCCTCTGCCTCCCGAGTGCTGGGATTAAAGGCGTGCGCCACCACTGAACGGCAAATCTGAGTCTTTTGTGGAATATTCCTTTACACTGTGACTGACTTAATAAAAAGCTAAATGGCTGATAGCTAGGCAGGGTATAGCAGGGACTTCTGGACGCAGAGAACTCTGGGAAGAAGAAAGGCAGAATTACCAGCCATATGGAGAGGAAACAGAGTAAAAGCAGCCGAGGCACATCAAAGAACGTAGATGGAAAAATCTGCACAAATCTCTGTTATTTGTGAGCTGGTAGCTCCAAGAGAAATCCCACTACATGATCCTCCTTGATTCCTGTGGTGATCTGAATGACAGGGACACCCTCTGGCTCATATATCTGAATGTTTGGTCATAAGGGAATGGCACTACTTGAGAGAGGTTAGGAGGTGTGGCTTTGTTGGAGGAAGTGTGTCACTGGGGGTGGACTTTGGGGTTTCAAAGCCAAACCTAGTTCCAGAATCTTTCTTTTCCTGTTACCTACAGATAGAGATACAGAACTCTCAGCTACTTCTCCGGCACCATGTCTGTCTATGTGCCATGCTCCCTGCCATAAAGATAATGGACTAAACCTCTGACACTGTAAGCCAGCCCCCACTTAAATGCTTTCTTTTATAAGAGTTGCTGTGGTCCTGGTGTCTCTTCACAGCAAAAGAACATTAAGACATCCTAGCTTGACACAGGATCTCTTCCTTCCTTCTGCTTCCTGACCACATTGTGAAGTGGCCAATGAGGTCTTCACCAGATGAATAGAGGAGGTCACCCCACTTCACACTTTCAGTCTCCAGAACTGGGAGATAAACTTCTCTTTCTTATGAATTTCTCAGCCTCAAGTATTTGTTACAGCAAAAGAAAACAGACATAGGGTAATAGCTAACTGGGTTTCTTTCAGAGGCGATGGACATGCTTTAAAATTAATTCTGAAGGAGCTAGCAATGTGGTAAAGTGCTTGCCTAGCATGCTCAAGGCCCTGATTTTAATCCCCAGCAACACATGAACTGGATATTGTGGCACATGCCTATGATCTGAGCACTTAAGAGATGAAGGCAAGAGAAGCATTTCAAGGCCATCTTAGCTACAGAGCAAATGGGAAGTTAGCTGGGATACATGAGACCCTACCTCAATCATCAGTAAATAAAATAATGGTGAAGATGGTTGCACATATCTGTGAATATCCATGCCTCCACATCATTGGGAGGACTCACAGCTTCATGACTCTGTTTGTGAGAAGAGGTTATACATCCTGACTCATCGTGGTGCTTCTATGCATTGGCTCATCTAGGAGCAGCTTTCTGGGTCACTGCAGCTCTGTGAGGCCCCATACCACTCTGGTGGCCCCTGTGGTCCCCTGCCTGGAGGTGGAGAAGACTTACACATATTTACTGGGAATTTGCCCACGCTGGATCTTCTGGGCATTCTCATCCAGCTGCCAAGCCATCCAGGACCCAAACATGCCCTGGGGCAATGTGTCATCCACATACAGGATGTCATCTTTCTTAAAACTCAGTTCAGGCTCCACCTCTGCCAGACGGTCATATAGGGCCCTGGACCATGGAAGAGATGACACAGGTTGAAACCACATCGCACACGCCCATCTCTTGAGGCAGCTGTCTATGCTGTCTCCAGACACCACGGGACAGGACTTGGGGGCATCCTGAAGAGCCCCGCATCACACACTTTTCAGAGCAGGATAGAGGTATCTGTCACCTTTTCTTTCTAACACTAAGGGCTCATCACTTCCTGTACCCCATCCTTTCAAACAGACATTTTCTATCCACTTGTCTCAGCAATCAAAGTGGCTGCTTCCTGCGAACTGGCACCTCCCATAGATGCAAACACACCATTTCCCTCCTGCAGAATGGGAAGTTATTACCATGCGTGTTTTCATCTTCTTTGTGGTCTGAGGTCATGGGGGACATGACAGGCGTCCTGAGCCGCTCACTGAAGATGCCTGATGTCATTCCCACATGATTCCCACATGACTTACAGGCACCATGGACACCTGAGATCCATGCATACTGCAGAGGGCCCTGTTTGACTCAGGAGAGACCACAGGAGGAACACAACCCATAGAGTGAGTAGTCTAAGGGGCTCCAGGTCTCAAGACTCTTGTAGTCTTGACCCTTCCCCTGTCCCCAAAAGTATCTCACATAGGCAAAAGTCATGCCAACCAATGATGGCCTGAGTCCTCGGGGCGAATAGTCCAGGAATCCATTTACCCTATGAACTTTCCACAGAGAGCCCCTCCCCTGGCCCTAACCCTTGCTACTGGCACCTGATGTAGAAGCTGTCACCAGGCAGGCCCTTGACTCTGGAGAATTCCTCATGGCGATACTGCACCTTCAGGCGGATATTATCTTTTGGCTTCAACATCTCCACATAGACATCCTCTACTGTCCTGCTGCGCACATCCTGGTTGCCATACTGAGCAGGGAAAGAGCGCCAGGGTCAGAAAGACAGTGGCAGGGATAGCATGGATACTCAAAAGGTTCCAGGACGGTCTTAGACTCTGCCTGCCTCCCCTCTACCGATCTTGGTCTCCCCTGTGCCTGTGCTCTATATGACTTCTTGGCTACTAGATACAGTGGGACTACCTAGCAATGAAGATGTCTACTTTATACTTATGAAACCATGTATTTGCCATTGCACTGTCTAATTTTATGTCAATTTAACATAGGCTAGAGCCATCTGAGGGGAGGGAACCCCGACTGAGAAAATGCCTTCATTAGACTGATCTATGGGGAAGCCTGTAGAGCATTTTCTTAATTAGTAATTGATGGGGGAGGAGGGCCCAGCCCACTGTTGGTGGCAGGGGTAGAGGAGACCACCCCTGGGCTGCTGGTCCTGAGTTCTATAAGAAAGCAGACTAGCAGGCCACACAGAGCATGTCAGTAAGCAGTACTCTTCCATCGTCTCTGCATCAGCTCCTGCCTCCAGGTTCTGTTTGAGTTCTGCCCTGACGTCCCTCAGTAATGGAATGTTTCCTCCCCAAGTTGTGTTTGCCGTGGTGTTTCATCACAGCAACAGTAGCCCTAACTAGGACTGGCATCTATGTGCCATCTCCCCCATGGGATGGGAGACCCGGAGAGACCTAGTACTCATGAGACTGGGCACTTCCTTCTGGCTCCCCAGGATCAGTGTCAAGTTGGGTTACCTCAGCGGCCTACCACACTGCCCACGGCTGGGGAGTAGCCCTCATTTACAAGATGAACAACCCGCCTTGACAAGTTACTATAGGTAAAGTATAATCCCATCTTCTGTGTCATGTAAGAGGACAGAGGCTGATAACGCATGAACATGACCTGGCACACAGTGGCAGAACTCACCTCCAGGATGAGGTCCCCTGGCACGAGGCCATCGGGACCCTTGGCAGGACTATCATCTTCCACCTCGGCCACAAACACCCCGTGCAGATTCCCACCACACAAGTGCACTCCCAGATCCAACTGGGATTTCTTGATGAAAACAATGCGGGGATCAGGGCTCTTCTTGCTGCTATCTCCCACAATCCTTTTAAGAAGGAAAATGAAGTCCTTAACATGTGCAAGGAGAGACTCGGGATAAGTGAAGAGAGCCATGGTCGATGCCCTGCCTGCTTGTTTGGCAGGCTTGGACTTCTAAGAGCCAAGGGGCTGGCTGGTCACAGGTTCTCCTCTACTGACTCGATACAGAGTCAGAGACCGAGAGTGGCAATGTGAACGGAGAGACAGAAGAAAGAGGGCAACAAGCCATTCAGAGAGAAAACAAGAAAACCAATAAGGGACATGCTTCTGATCCAGCTGTCACTGGGTGCCTGAGGAGGCATCTCTTCCCCTACTGAGCTTGCCTGACGTGGCCTTGCTATTTAGAGACAGACAGTTCCCTCAGGGAAACACCCGAGCAGTCTCTCTGCCAGCTAATGCGGGGGCTCTTGATATCAAGACCAGAGGTGCCAAGGGGGAATGCATGGAACTCCCTCGGAGGGGGAAATAGAGGAGATCCCCTGGTTGGACTGGGGGTGGGTGGGTATGGGGACTTGAGGGATTGGGTTGGAAGGTGAGCAGAGGGGGAGAATGTTGAGAGAGATGACTGGAGAGGGGGAGCTTTATGGACTCGGGTAGAAGTCTGATGCAAAGGAAACTTCCACAAGGATGGCCCCAGCTAAGACTTCAGACAGCAATGGATGCATAGTCTGAACGGGCTCTGCCGTGATCAGATTGGTGACTACCTAGGTTGTCAGTGGAGAGCCTTCATCCAGTGACTGATGGGAGCAGATTCAGAAACCCATGGTCAAACATTGGGCTGAGCTATGGGAAGAAGGAGGGATCATAGAAGCCAGGGGTCAGGGACATCAGAGGAAAACCCATAGAAATGGCTAGCCTGGGTCATGGGAACTCGGAGTCTGAACCAAAAACCAGAGAACCTGCATGGGACTGGCCGAGGCCCTCTGCATATATGCAACAGTTGTGTAGCTTGGTCTATTTGTGGGACTCTAGGAATGGGAGCAGGGCTGTCCCTGGTGCTATGGCTGGCTCTTGGGAACCTAATCCTCATACTGGATTGCTTTGCCCAGCCTGAATACTGGGGGAGGTGCCTGGTCTTATGACAGCTTGATATGCTATGCTGATGCCCTTGGAAGGCCTGCCCTTTCTGAGCAAATACAGAGAAGGGGTGGGTTGGGGTGGCAGAGGACAGATGGGGGGGATGAGTGGAAAGAGATGAGGGAGAGGAGGCTGGGGTCAGGATGTAAAATAAATTAATGAAAAAAGAAGGGGAAGAAGGAGGAGGAGATGGGGGAGGAAGAAGAAGATGGAAAAGGAAGAGGAGATGGAGGAGGAAATGGGGGAGGAAGAAGCAGGAGGAGGAGATGGAAGAAGAAGAAAAAGGAGGAGAAGGAGGAGGAGGAGGAGGTAGTAGTAGTAGCAGTAGTAGTGGAGTAGGGTCAGGGTGAATCTGGGAACACAGTGAGGAAGCCAGACACCCTCGGAAACCGTGAAGGAGATATAAAGGAAGAGTCCACCCCTGGTGAGTTCCAGCAGGAGTGATCCCCAGGCAGAGCTGCCTCAATCTACATGACAATGGGACACTTAAGAGATGTGGCAATTCTAGGTTAGACTGACCCAAGCTTCTCTATGGGAGAAGCCCATCTGCTCACAGGAAGTGTGCATACCTAGCTGACAGTCTGCCCTGCCGCAGAGCTCAGCCCTGGCTGTCTCTCTCGGCACTGCCGCTTAGCACACCTCAGGGTCCCTGGCCTAACATCAACCTTGTCGCCGCTGAGCAGAGACCTGGGGCCTTCCTGGCTGATAAAGGTAGAATGTCTGGAGACAGAATAGGAGAAGGAAAGACAGAAGGAGAGCGACACAATCAAGGAGAGAAGAGGAGGAGGGGTGAAGGAAAAAGACAGGCCTGGTGTGGGGTTTGTCCCAGTGAAGCAGATGGGCAAATGGAGTCCCGTAGCATTGCCTATGCTGACCTGGAGCTGGGGGTACTTTGCTTGGCTGGGGGGGTGCCAGGGCCTTCATCCTGTTCCATCAGCGGATCAATGACAGAGGAATGTTCTGGGGTTACAGCACTGCTGCCCTGGAGAGTAGAGTGAGGGGTGGCAGCAGGGTCCAGGTGGGAGCTGGAGGTGGGAAACAGAAAGAAAATGATGCATTCAAGCAGCCAGAGCCACGACCCCTGCAGTGTGGCAATGGGTCCAGACTGTGAATTGGGAACTGGCTTCAAACACTGAGTCCTGGAAAGGCAGATACATAAGGAGTCTGGACTTGTGCCACCTGCCCCATAGGTCTGCCTGTCTCCAATCAGGGATTCTCTCCAAAGAATCCAACCTAGAGGACACCAAAGCCCCCTTCCCTTCTCATCTGCTTTTCTTCCCCAAGTTATGCGTGGTGACTTCTACAGGACACGTACCACTCCTGTCATCTACCTCGGGACCCACAGTTCGGGTGCAGGTACAGGCAGGTGTCCAGTGTTTGTTCCCACACAAAGTCAAGCACAGTATGAATCCTGTGCCAGGGACTGAGGTTTTGGTTGTTGTGGCTCCCCGCACCCTTGACTGTACTCTTAATGTTACCCCAGCCTAGGCAGCCCCTGGAAGCTCACCTGGAATGGGAGTGGCTACTGAGCTGGTGAATGTGTGGGTTGTACTGGGCCAGGATGGTGATGGTATCACACTGCTGTCCGATGATCAGCCGGGCCTGCTGCTCGGTGGCACTCCTCAGGTTTATGCCATTGAACTGGGAAGATGCCCAGGGTGGACTCAGTGACGGGTAATGACTGAGGCAGTGAACATGAACTTGGGAACACTGCTTTGTAGGACAGGACCGAAGAGAAAAGGGAGGGAGGGAGGGAGGGAGGGAGGTAGGGAGGGAGGGAGGGAGGGACNGGAGGGAGGGAGGGAGGGAGGGAGGGACGGACGGACGGAGGGAGGGACGGAGGGAGGGAGGGAGGGAAGGCGGGCCATTCCCTCTTACCTCAAGTAACTGGTCCCCATACTCAAGGCCGGCCTGGTGGGCGATGCTCCCTGTGGTCACCTTGGAGACGTACACACCACCCTTCTCTCCACTCACGATGGAGATTCCCAGAGGCTCTGAACCCTTCTGTACTTTCACATGGCGTGGCTCCTCCAGGTAAGGCCTGGAGACACAGTCAAAGTTTCAGGGACTCGGACCCAAAGGGACAGAATGGGGAGGCTGAGATCAGGCATGCAGTGTGAAGGAAGGCCCAGAGCTCGGTGTTCTGATAAGATGGGAGATGGCAAACTGACTTTGGACAAAGAAACACATTCCTGAAATTTCATGCAGTACAAACAAACATGGAAGAGACAGAGGATGACTGATGTGAACTATAACTGGGAGTGACACACACACACACACACACACACACGCACACACACGCACACTCTTTTATTTGATGAAACAGTCATCTCAGGACACGCACTGTGCATATCCCATGGAGGGAGTTCTGAAGACATCCACCGGCAAAAAGATGACAACAAAAAGTTGTCCCCTAATCCCTCCCTGCAAAGATGGTATGGCTAGCTAGTTCTTGTATCTATGGGTCCCTAGAGTGACAATGAAACAGCCATAAGCCATGAGAAGAGGGCTAAGGGACTAATGGAGCAAGGGTGTGCCCATGCATTTACTGGCCAGGGAGCCGTCCCCATATCCAAGGGCATGAAAGGATGTGAGAGCCTCATGTCAGGCCAACCTCAGACTCCTCAGTGAGGAGGACCTGGGCCTAACGGCCACGGGCAGCCTCAGAAGGGATCTGTGGTGGAAGAGATACATCGATGAACAAAGGTTAGGAGAGAAGGGATACTCAGAAGGACCACACTTGAACAGAAGACCCAGAACTCTGCAAGTCCTCCCCCTAGAAGCAGCTTTTCCAGCTGAGGGGCCCCTCAGTCTCAGTCAAAGCCATGGAAAGTTCTAGGTTGTGAGCGGCAAATACTTGCTCTGTCACTACTGTAAGACAAAGAGAAAACCCACAAGTTCAGTGGACCTTAGTCTGGGTCCCCACAGCTGTGTCTTGGAATAGCAGAGAGTAAAATGCCTCACACACCCCCAATTGAAAACCATTCATCTTCACAGTGACTTACTCATTTGTGTGTACATATGTGCATGTGCACCTGTACATGCCATGGTGCGTGTGAGGAGATAAAAGGACAATCTGTGCGGTGGGGGTGGAGCCAGTTCTCTCCTTTCACCACGTAGGTCCAGGAGATCAAACTTTGGTCACCAGACCTGGCAGCAAGTGAGCCATCTCACCATCCCATGAAAATCTTCTGAAACGGTTCTAACACTCCTGCCGGGTAATTTCACTTCCCAAACCCACGCCTCCACAATTTCCCCTAACCTTCTAGCTCCTGCATACAGTCAATTCCGCCACTGAACGTGCATTAGAGTGTCAGGCAGTTCAGAATTCTAAGTCCCTTGCAGCTAGTCATCCAAAGACCATCCTCATAGGTCAGGCTAAGAAGATGGAACGGAGAATAGGCACTGAAGGAGAGAGCAGGTCTAGGGTCCACCCGAGGTTCCTCCTCACCCAGTGGCTGACCTTTCCTCCGTCCACATTAACACATTCTGCTCAGCACAATACAAAAGTGGGTGACCAAGTCTAACAATGTCACATAAAAGCCAGGAAGCTGGGGCTGGAGAGATAACTCCACAGTGAATAGTGTGGCTTACTCTTTCAGGACCTGAGTTCAGTTGTCAACATCCATACTGGTTCACTTACAACCACCCGTTAACTCCAGTGCCATGGGGCCTGATGGCCTCTTCTGACCTCCAAGGGCACCTGCACTCATGTGCACATATTCCAACACACACAAACATCAATATACATATGTACAGATAGACAGACAGACACACACACATTTACACACACCCAGGAAACTTCCAAATGACCCTATGCATCAGGGTTTCCTGACCTGGAAAGATGTGGACTAGAGAAAAGTAACTCCACTTTTGGGACTTATATACATATTTATGTCAGTATTTTTTTTTAATTTTTTCACTTTATGTATCTGTGCATGGGCAGATTTCTACAGAGAGAGGGTGTCCTGGAGAATGTGACCAAAGGCATGATCTCTACTTCCTCCAACTTCCCTGTGACCTGATTTGTCATAGTGTAAAAAATTAAAGTTTTCTCAGAGCAAAGCTAATTTGTACGCCAAGATTATTACGCTTACTTAACATTACAAATACTTGTTAGAGGAACTGTGTTGTATATACGACACGACAGACACTATACCCTCTGCCGTGTACAGCAGACGTCTCGACTGACTGCACGGGACTTTCTTCTTCTTTTTACTTTTTCCCTTTCCCTGATTTTCTCTCATGACTATATGATAGGGAACTCTGAGTTCTGGATAGGAGACTACCTTTCATTAGGAAGCTGTTGCTTGGGTCACAGGGGCTAAACTCACCTCTAACTGGACTGTCAGCCCCAGCAGGGCAGGGATCACTCACACCTTTGGGAGCAGGAAGCCAACAGGCTGCATGTCTCATGTCACAGGCCCTTTCTACTGAGCCACGCCTTCACACTCCCATGGGTGTCGCCCAGAAAGCATCCTAGTCCTGTGGCTGGTGACCTGGGCTAGGGCCTAGCATTACATACATTTGCTCCCCTGGGTTCTCAAGTTTATACACACTGGGTTCCTTTTCTTACAAGTTCAGATTTTCAAATCAAATATGATCTAATATATTTATTTATTTACTTTTTTTTGAGGCAAGGTCTTACTACATAGCCTTGGCTGTCTTGGAACTCACAGGGATCTGCCTGCCTATATGCATTTCATTTCTCAATAGAAACAAACAAAGAAACAAAGAAACAATTTTGAGTAGAGCCAAAGAACCAAGAAATGTAGCAAATTATACCTGGAGCCAAAGATCAAGGGATAAGAATGAATCCCGGGTTCTAGCTAGGTCAGGCCAGTCACTGAGTTTGTATACACAGAGCTTACTTAGGTGGCCTGGCTCTTGGAAAATGGAGCTAACTGTAGACACTCATGCAACTGAGACTTTTATAACAGTGTGTAACTGAGACGTTTTAACAATGTGTGTAAATGGGTCTGGCAAGCAGGAAGCAGCACCCTGCTATCCCTTGTCACCGCCAGGCCATCTCAAGCATCATGCTTAGTCACTGCTCAGGGGAGGAGCCAACCTTGCCATCTACACCTGACATGCCCAGTCTCTAACTTGTGTTGTTTTGACAGTATGCCTCATGCTCTCCGGACTCCCCATGGCCAGAGCAGACGTCCCCTGGCTTGCCCCAGCCACAGGTGCTCATTAACACTTACCTGTCCTTCCTCCGCTCCCCATGGGAAGTGGGGTTGACAGCAATTCTGGGCAACGTGGAGGCTGAAGTCTGAGGCTGGCTACAGGAGGACAGGGTATCGATGTTCAGTGGGGACCGGGGAGGAGTGCTGCATTCAGAATGTGACAATGAACCTGTCATGAGAGAAGAGGTGGACGGGACTGGACTGCCATCCTATGACCTGGGCCTTGATGGTCCCCACAGCAACAGATGAGGGCTAGGCTCAGACGACCCTCATCAACCCACTGAGAGGATTAGAGAGGACCTGAGGGAGCAGGCACAAGAGGGAATGCCAGTACTTACCTCTGTCAGAGCCCATGACAGACCGGGGATATCTCGGTGTTAATGGGATCTTAATCCGCTCTGCCTTGAACTGCAGGTTACTGGAAGACCCTGTTGTCCCAGGAGGAGACAGCGTCAGGTCTCTTGACATTCAATGCAGTAACATAAAAGCCTGTTTGATATCCCTGAGGAAAATTATCTGTGGGGAACTACAGAGGAGACCGTTGGTGCCTCATGCTAGATGGAACTTAGCAGGCTCAGAATGCACCAGGACAGAAGCACATTGCCTTGCTGCAGGTCAAAATGCAACAGTAACCTAACTGCTGCAGTAGATGCTCCATCTTGTCTCTGAAGCCCTAAAGACTTATTACCCAGTCTTGCTACCACACAACACTGACACTCTCCTCAGAGTTACACTTCCCCCAAGTGTGTATCCATACAGGACACCCAGGATGGACTAACTCAGGGTCAGGAAACAAGACTCCAACCAAGATGTCACCTGAAACAACCGCAACCATCATGAAGCTGCAGGCAGAGGGCGGTGGCTCTGAAAACATAGGTATGCTAGATAGGCCACAAGATAGCAGCCATTCAGGGGAGGGAGCTGAGCTTAGCCTCTGGAGGGAAAGGAGTCACAAGGGCAGCCCACCCAGAGACCTGTTATCAAAATACAAGCACCAGTGGTAGTTACCAAGACGAGCACTGGAGGGCAGAGAGTTGGAACCCTGGGAGGCTCTCATCTCAGAATAGTCACTGCAGGCCCTGTGACTCAGGTCCAGGCTGAGGCGTCCCTGGTGCTGGACACTGTGAGTAAATCAGAGAGGTGAGGGGCTCTGGAGAAGGACTAAGACCAGACATGACCACAGGGGGAAACACAGTAAGCAGCCTGCACTCCCTAAGACAGGATAGCAGACTGAACCCAGTCACTTCTCTCAGATGATATCTATTAAGGACTTTTATGCAGTAGAAGGTGCACACAAGGTCAAGAGTGGAATTGGGTGGACGAGGGAAACAAGGCTCTGCCTTGTGGAATGGTGGGGGGAAGGGGGGGCTGGATGTGCATAGAGTGTCCTGGAGAGAGCAGTGTTATACCTCACTCAGGATGGCACAAGGTGAAGTCAGGGGACAGTACCCAGGGACCGCCCACATCCGGCTAGCCAGCAGGCAGTCCCAACAAGGTAGCTTAGGTTGTGTAATGTTGACATCCCTTCCCTGTTTAAAACACCCCAGGGGTTTCCCAGGTAGTCTTTCAGGGTTTGTGTCGTAGTCTGGGCTTCCCTGCTGCCTGCCATACATCCCCTACCTCCCCCCTCCCCCAGCTCCCCCTATGCTCCCTGACACACAGCCCTCAGCCCTGCAGCCCTCCTTCCTGCTATCTAATTTCTCCTGGACTGAGGGATTAATGCCAGGGCCTTGCACATATAGGAAAGTGTTCTTGTCACAACACTCACTTTCCTAGACACCCTCTCTCTAACCACAGCCCTGTTGTCACCCTGTTTCTCTGACTCATCACCACACGTTACCACTGTCGTATTCTCAAATGTCTGGAATCCTGCACGGAACACAAAGCCCATGAATGGGGTGTTGCCATTCAGGTTTATTACTGTCTGTCCTTGAAACCCAAATAGCCATTGGGACATAGAAGTTGATTGTTAAAAATTTGCCAAATGAATAGATAAGGGTAATTCTGATCTGTCTCTCTCCCCCCACCCCCTTAATTTCAGGTTTCGTTTTTAATATATTAAGTGGTATTCTACCTAGTCAGAAAAACTTCTCCATTGAAATTTCAGCACTGGCCCCGGACCTGCCATCACTGTCCTCTGAATAGCAGAGTGAGTTCACACAGCATTCTCTACGCCCTCAGCCCTTTCCCAGTTAGTCGAGAGGCTTTTCTGCCCTCAGGCCCCTATGCTGCAGTAACTCTCCAACTAGGAGACTGGACAACTGGTACACAGCAAAGTGTAAGTGTGTCGGCATACCTGGGAGACAGGCCCTGGGGGCCAGCATCGCGGGACACGGGTGGAGAGCCACAGGGAACCACCCTGTGGCTGCGCACGGTGTAGATGGGGTTCCGCAGGATGGAGCTCACAGTGGTGCTGGGAGTCATACTCCGGGGAACAGTGCCTAGAAAGGAGCTGGATCAGAACAGTGGTTCCGAAAACACCTAGACTGCCCTGGACTGGAACACACCCTCCCATAAACACCAGGCAGTCTTAGTCTTAGGGAAAAGGGATTCTAGGTAGAGACTTTTAGTTACCAATCTGCCATATGGCTTTTACTAGTGGCCTTCCCCAAACTGTTAGAAAGAACTGATCCATTGCAACAAGCAAAGATTACATCTAATAGAGATAGGGTCAAGAAATTATGGGTTGAGGACATATCACAATACCCCCTTTCCAAAGATTGGACATCCCTGTGAGCCCACAACAACCCTGTTTCCAATTCCTATTCCAGCAGCTTACTTACCCACAGATGGCCGACTAGGGTAGAGTGGGGGATTGCCATGCCGGCTAGCATGCCCTGGTGAGTACGGGGACCATTCCTGAACCTCTGGGGAGAGTTCTCCGCTGGTTGGATCACAGTCCTGTTCCTGCAGAATCAAAAGCAATAGTGTCTACTAGGGAAAATTAATACTTAGTGTATTTGCAAACTGACTTCAGTCCCATGTACCAGCTCCTCCCACTCAGGCAAAGGAGTGACCAATTGGAGAGGCGCTGCCTATCCGCATTGCCTGACACCTGGAAGCAAAGGATCCCCTGTTCAGACCCATCATACAGCAAGTGCAGAGAAAGAATCTGCTTGTCCGCCTGCCTTCCTTCACTCCCTCTCCGTTCTTTCTCTTTCTTTTTTCTCTTTTCTTTTTTTTCTTTCCTCCCTTCCTTTCCTTTTTTCCCCTGAGACAGTCTCTGTATAGCATTGTCTTTCCTAGAACTTGCTCAGTAGACCAGGCTGGCCTCGAACTCACAGAGATTCACCTGCCTCTGCCCCCCCAAGTGCTGGGTGTGCACCACCACCACCTGGCTTTGTTGTTGTAGTAGTTAGAATCTGCCTTTCAAATAAACAGACTGTGGAAGTGAAAGATAAGAAGACATGCTGACAGGAAGCACAGTGAGCGGTGTGCACAGTGCCCCAGAAGTTTCAATTTCTCAGCAGTCTCCCCTTCTGGAAACTTCAGCACACACAGCTAGCCTGCCCTACAGCCAGCTTCAAGTGTACCACTCATTTCCTCCAACCTTTCTTGGGCAAATCTGTCATTTAGTTTTTTTTTTTTTATAAGCTCAAAAACTTCTATAGTTTTAATTGAGCTATACATTTCCCCCCACTCCCCTTCCTTCCTCCTTTCTTCCCTTCTACCTCTCCTCTACAGGCTCTCAATTTACTTAGGAGGACTTATTTTTTTCTCCTTTTTTTTTTTTTAATAAGCTCAAAAACTTCTTTAACAAGCAAAGCAAACGTTATTTTCAGCAAGTGTTCTTAGTGTCATTTCCCACTCCATGCACATCCCATGACCTTTCCCATCTACAGGGACTGTTGCTCACTGGCACCCCCTGCCACCCTATCACCCTTGCAGGTACACACCACCAGCACAGGGCCCCAGCTCTGTGGGAAACTCTGACAGGCTATTTAGCAGGCTCCCACCCCACTGCTCCAGTTCCAGGCCAACCTCTACCTCCAGGCACTGAGCAGGGATCACTACTGGAGCAATCTTGGGCCGAAAACTAGGGGCAGACTTTGGCCGGCGCCGCTTCGGCCCTAGCTCGTCCGCTTTCTGGGAGGTGAGGTCCTCATCACAGGACTTCTTGGCAGGCAGGTAGGAGGTTTCTCCATCCCCTTCAGAGTGGTAGCTGGAGGCGATGTGGACCCTTGCCTTGCGTGTGGGTGAAGCATGCATGGGCTCCCCGGGGTCCATGCTGGGGGGTGGGGCACTTGGAGGGCTGGTGGAAGGTGAGCTTCCCACCAAAGTGGCTTCTGACTCAGAACTGGTGTCCAGCCTGTGTTGAAACTTGATAGAGTCACTTCTCCTGGGGGGCTTTGGGGGTGTCAGAGACCCTACCCTAGTGGAGGGCTGCGGGGAGTGAGCAAGCCCAGGGACTGGAAGCAGGTAGTCTATTTTGGGGGGTGTCTGTGGGCGCTTGAAAGTATTTGGGTCAAAGATGGACTTCCTTTGCTTGGGTTTCTTGTAGACAGAGAGCTTCTCAGGTACTGATGTGGAACCAAGCACAGCCTTGGGCCAGGTCCCACCACTGCTGGAGCCGTCTGGATCTACCTTGTCCAGGGGAGCCTCTACTATCCCACAGGGGCCCACCCCAGTCTCGAAAGACAGCAGAGGCTGCTGGCTCTGCACGTCCACCAGCCCATAGCCACGTTCAGCAGAGGCATCAGAACGGAATGAGTTCAGACTACGCTCCGAGGTGCTAGGACAGGCCTGGGGAGAGGCTGGAGAGGAGGCTCTAGGGAATGGCTTGTGCAGGAAAGAACTGCTGCCTCCAGGGGGGCCCAGCTCCTTCCTGTCCTCCAGTTGATCTGCGTAGAAGATATCTGTCTGTGTGGAGTTATTGTGCTGTAACAAGTTCCGTTTGTTATGTGCCTGGACCTCTGGGCCGTGCGCTCGACAACTCAGCATCTTATCTGAGTCCTTGATATTTTCAAAGATGTTCTGGCCACTCCACGAGGAGCTCTGGGGAAACACCTGAGCCAGGGACGCAGAGAGATGAGAAAAACAGTGAGATGTCATCACTTACAAATGTCACTGGAAACCATCCCCAGACAGGAGTGATGGACAGACAGACACACAGAAGGCAAACACAGATTCATGTACATATTACTGTCTAACGGTGAAGTTTTCTCATGGGCCTGGCTACGTAGAAATTATAAGAGCAAGAAAATTCTGTCGACTTTGAGCATGATATGCAGCCACGTGCACACTGTGTAAGACTCATTGAGCATCAAAGTAAATTATTCATGGTAACCCAGGCAACAGGAAACTAGCCAGGGCTAAGAGGTGAGCTCACACACCACAAAAAGACACAGGAAAGAACTGTGCACGAGTGAGCAAGTCTACGCGAAAGGGTGCTACAGCTACATGATGTCTCGAAAAGACAGATGCCTGGAGACAGGAAAAGGATCAGTGGTTCTTGTAGGCTTGAGAAGTGGAAATGACAAAGAAGGACACAAGAGACTTTTAGGGCAGTGACACTACCTGTAGAGTACTTTATGTGACCACGGATGCATCTGTCCATACTCACAGGATCACAGTATCAACAGTGACCCCCATTCAGCCATGCAGCAGTGATGGCTCATCATTTGTATCAAATGCACCACACAAATGTAAGGTGGCAAAACCAGGGGAAACCTAGGCTGGAGCGCTCACATGAGGGGACACATGAGAACAATCTGCCAGTTCAGATGGTCTGTAGACTTAAACAGTCCCCCAACCTCAATTAATTTTAAGAAATAACTTAGCATCTCTTAGTGAACTAGCTGGACCCATTTACCTACAGTTCTATTACTAACCTTTCCAACTATGTAGAAAAGTTGATTTTTAAAAAAGTATAATGAGTACCTATAAACCCACTCACCAGATTCAACGATTTTACCAGATACTCTTTATCATCTTTGTCTATGCTGACATTGATAAACACTGGAAAGTCACATATATTTTGGTATTTCCCAGGCTAAGAACTTTCAAGTTTACCATCAAATATGGCTATTCTCCTCAAAACTCCAAGTCCATGGCCAGGCCTAAGGAAGCTAACCATCTCTAGGGCCATCAGATTGTCCAGAGAATGAAATGTACCCAACTGTTTTCAATCTACATCCTCTCAGGCTTGCTACACCCTGCATTTTAAAATCAATATATTTTCCCCAACAATCCTGGTACCCTTCAGAAACAGCTCAGGTGCATGGAGCTGAGGCACTTCTCACCCTCCCAACAGTGGTGGAGGTGCCCAGTGCCCACCTTCAGGAGGGAGAGGGTCAAGGAGTCTTGACAGTTTCGCAGCAGAGATTCACATTCATTCAGAGATTTATTGTCCAGTGCAATACCATTGATCTAGGACCAAAGAGAGAACTGGTCAGGCCTATCAATGGGGTGGCCCTCAGGCTCCCAGGCTGCCAGGCCAGGAGCTGGGCCCATCTGCCAATCCTGAAACTATTTACATAAGGAGCCAAACTCAGGGGTTAGCAAAGGAAAGAAAGGTGCTAACCAGCAGCGCCTGGAGTCACTTAAGAAGCAGGGCCTTCTGAAGCAAGGGGAACACAATCATAACATCACGCTGGATGGGACCAGAACACGGGGGACCACAGGGAGACATTCTACTGTGTGATCGTAGCCCACTCCTTCATTTGTGAGTGGCCAGGAAATACATATGCCTCATGGAGGCGGGTGACTAATGGAAATGAGACCATGGCTATGAGAAGCCTTTGTGACATAGACAGTACCACATAGAATGAAGCACTGCCACTGTCAAAGAGAATCAACACCCTCTCCTGGAATCTGTCCTTGCCCCTCACCAACACGGTCAAAGCTTCTCAAAAAGGGCATTTGAAACAGTGAATGTCCACACTGTGGTGTACCTGAGCTATAGGGAAACACCTGGGAGGCTCTCACAGGATCATGTTGGGTGAATAAAGCCTTGATGGAGTCATATATTACATAATGCCATTCATACAAGTACAGCTTAACTGCCAGGTAAGAGACTGTGAAGGGTGTGCAGAGGGGATAACTATAAGAAGGAGACAGAAAGAAAACAGGCATGATGAAGAAATGGTTCTACATGTGACTACAATGTTTATACAAAACTATTTGTGATCACACCACCCAGAACTATGCATACACACCACACCAGTGTCACCATGGTGGCTTTAATACGGGGAATAGAGGATAAATGGTACATAAGGCCTCCCTGTACTCTTTTTATAAAAACTTCTTTTGATTCTATAATTATTTCAAAGTCAAAAGCTTGAAAAGGGGGTGACTGGGGAGAGCACTCACTTGGTGAAGTGCTTGCTGTGCACCCTTGAGTTTGATGCTCAGAACCCAGGTAAAAAGCTTGGTATGGTGATACATGGTGGTAACACGGGTGCTAGGGAAACAGATACAGGTAGGTCTCTGGGATTCACTGGCAACAAGCCAGACTATTTGGAAAAGCTTGGCCAATGAGAGACCCTATCTCAAAAAACAAGGTGAATGGGGATGAAAGGCTCAAAAAGAATTAGGAAAAGATTGGGAAGATGTGAGTTAATCAATAACTCTTATGGGAACCCATTATTCTGTAAGCTAATTTATATATGTGAGTTTGAACAGAGGTACCTTGTATGGGTGGACAACGTGACGAGTGGTCTAATAGTAGCACGGACATTAGGGGGATAACCAAATGCTTTGACTGAATTTGAAGTCTGCTCCAAAGGAGGGAATTTCTATTATAAACCTGGTCAAAACTCATGGCTTTGGAGTCTGTTGTTTTGCTAAATGGCCACATTGTCAAAGTATATTCTAAATACTTATGTTTATATCTATAGATTTGTGATGCTTCCAACATCAGCCAGAGAAGCTTCTTGCTGTAGTGGCCATTGGTTAATGTACTGACTCATAAGTAAACAAAGTGCAGAGAATAAGTGACTGTTGAGTGTTCAGTCCTAAGCTGTATCAACCACCCAAGGCTCAGAGAACATAGAAAAGAGGGGACAGAAAGAACTTAAGATGGGAGAGGGTCTGTAAAGTGCTGTCTTCTGAACATGGATCATGGCAATTGCCATAACTGTTGGGAGTTGGCAGAAGCATCAGGAGGGAATCAAGATACATTATATACATGTGTAAAATTGTCAAAAAATAAATGAAAGACTTTTTAAAGTCTCACACAATACATAGCCATATTAAAATGCTCAATTGTGCCAAGACAATGCTACATTATTATATCACAGTTCAGTGTGACATCACAATGTAACACTGGGCCAACAAAATCCTACAAGGTATCCCTCGCATCACCCTGTTTTGAAATAATTTTACTTTCTACTGTGCTTCCAGTGGTTCTCAGTGTCGTCACAGGTTCACTGTACACTGTTTTAAAGTGGCATCACAATGCTCCATGCTGCTGTCACAATTCTGCATAGGACATTACAGCTCTGCTGTGATATCAGAATGACCCACCCTGGTATCACAAAGCTCTACTGTGTTTTCACAGCAGTCTACTACTCTACCAAATGCTGTATAGCACTGCTCAGTGGTGCTATCATAATGGTACACTGTCATATCACAATGACCAATTATATCAAGACATGAAAATTTTGTGACATTACAATGCTCCACTGTGACATCACAATGTTCCATTGTGCCCTCACAATCCTACATATGATATCATTAAAAAAAAAAAAAGACGATTCTTAATGAGCAACTCTCAAGGTGGTGACCTCTGGTCCTGGTCTCCACATGCACTGGAACACATGCACACTGCACATACAGGCAGCCATATAAACACACACACACTACCACCTCCATACACAAAGGCTAAAAAGTATCTACAGGATGTAATTATGTCGGCAAGGGCAACTAATGTGTTTTCCTTGTACTTTGTCTCCATTTTTAAGACATTTCCATGTGACCACGCTGTTTGGAAGCACTGGCTCTCAAGTCTGAAGAACAAGGATACTCAGTGATGAGTCTTTCCTCAGGTACTTGTGAGGCTGACATGACTCATGACTCTTGTGGACACACAAGGGCACAGCAGCATAGGTAGTCATTCGATGCCTATGCACTCTGACCCAGGAAAGCCCACCCAGGGATTTGCTCCACAGCGCTCTCAAGAAGACCCCAGGAGAGGGTCACTGGAGCCACTGAGCACTGCTTATAAAAGCACACAGGAATGGCTAGCAGCATTAGCCGATGCCCCTGAGCGTCCATATAGGGGGAAGGTGTGCTCAGGGTAGAGAGCTTACCTAGCACACATGACTCTCTATACCCTGGTTCCATCCCCAACATCATTGATTGATTGATTATATTAATTTATAAAGAACCACAGGCAGATCCAAGGACATGAATCTCAGTCAGACAAAAATGCAAGATGAACAAATGAGGATGTTATGGCTCCAAATGAGCTAGAAGAGATAGACATGCTTGAAACATTTCTGGAAGTAAACGCAGTAAGTTGCTAATCACGGTTCTGGTAGGATGGGAACCACAGACGGGTCCAGACCCAGATGACGTGCTATCGCTACCGCCTTTTGTACGACTGGAATTTCACACACGTGCCATGGAAAGGCACATGCGTTTTCCAGCTCAGTGGGTTGATCCGAAGACTGACACAACAAGCCCTGCTACTCAGCTAATACCCACACTTCTTGTTGAGTGCAGAGATTAAGGGGTTCCGAGCGGCTGTACTACAGGTGAAGTTCACAGCAGATGGTGATGACAACCGCTATGTCAATCAGAAGGAGACAGTTTTAAGTATGCATCACCAAGCAACCCAGCTTCATGAGGTGGGTACTGTGAGTGACAATGACTTGGAAAGCCACCTATGATACAGAATGCAAACTGCAGATCCCACTGCTGTGTTTAAACACAAATGCCAGAACCCAAATATAGAGAGACTTACACAAGCACGCGAGGTCGGGGCTGCAGGCACCTTCCATGTGGGGGCAGACCTCTAACAGTGGACTCAAGGGAGAAGGGGAACTACTACACTTTGCTCTCTATGTGTTTTGTTGTTTTTTGCTTTTTAATCACTTGACCATTTCCCCAATATGTTGATAATGGGGAAAAAGTTCAAAGACTAGGTTTACTGATCAGTAAAATAAAAATGACTCTGAGGCAGGAGGATTGCTTAATCTCTGAAAATACACATATGTGATTAGAAAAACAAATCACATAGATATTCTTTCTTGGAAAACTGTCCGTTATAGACATTCACACACTGAGGGATGAGTAAGAGAAACTCCGCTGCTATCTGTGTGGGAGCAACAGAGTGACTCTGACCTCCATCCTAGACTGCTCTTCCTGTACAGTACTCATTGCTGCAGTATGCTTAGGAGAAAGCTTTTTGGGATTTTTGCTTTTTTTTAATGATCACACGGTGCAATGTCTATGTGTAGCAGACAGTTCGCCCTGTTCTGGAGACTCACCGCAACAATCCTGTCTCCCACGGCGAGAGACCCCTCTTTGGCGGCTGGGCTTCCAGGTACCACAGCAGCAGCATACACTCCGTTTTCCAAACTGATGCCACTGTCTGTGAGCCAGAGGAGGACACTGGGTGACCTGGCCTGGCTGTCCCATCCCAGTTCTGCTGACTAAGTTTGTAAAAGGGATTACACCCTACTCTGTGACACTCCCACCACAGGGCTCATCACATCCTGTCTGGTGAGTCGGATACTGGGCCCTCCCACCAAGCCCTCCCTAGGCCCTCCCACCAGGAGAGCACTTGGGCTGCCTTAGGACACCAACAACATGCACCCCCCAGGGGCACGATGATCCGGTAGGCCTACTACCTTTCTGTCCGCTAAGGTTGATGTGCAGGGGGGTAACGACCTTTCCACCCAGGGACTTCCTCCGCCTCACGACCATGTTGATGGCTCCGTCTCCATTGAGGAGCGCCTTGATGGCCTGCTTCTTGTCCTTGTTGATGAGGTCCACGTCGTTGATTCTCAGCAGCCAGTCGTTGACCCTGATGGGGGACAAAGCCAGGCAGGCACCCATTCAGACCCTAAGACCTGTAGCTGCCCCTCACTACACTCCCATTTACAGGCTCAGATACCAGTAAGCAAGCAAGTTCCCTGCATCCACACTTAAGTAGGTTTCTGCCTATAAAGTTGTGAAACTCACAGGTGCTGGTGTTAAACAGCGTGGCTTCAAATCCTGACTCTGCCACTTACTAGCTGTAGAACTTAGCCTGGCTGTCTTAGTGTCCTTATCTGTAAGGTGAGGTAATATTTGTACCTGCCTCAAAGAATTACAGAGAAGAATGATTAAACGGTACACTGCTTACACCAACATTGGCAGCAGTTAGGGTGGTGTACCATGCCATCGGGCTCGCTATTACATGGGGTGAGCAGACATGCCACATCCTCCTCTCATCACTGCCTGAACCCATGCTACCCAGAGAAGTAAGACACAGCCCCTGGTACCTGGAGAAAAGCCAGACTCAGAGGGATCCAAGAGGCAGTTTCCTTTAAGATGACCCCAGCTGAGCCCAGGGCTTTGACAGCTCGGTGAGTTCTCGGCTACTAGGACATGTTCACTTTGATGCCACCTGTCTTCCTTCGGGTGCTCTAGGTGGGGCGGCAGGGCCCCTATTCCCCCCGGGGCTGGACCTCCTCAGTTCTTACCTTAAGCGACCATCAGCAATACTTCCTTTGTCCACTTTGGTAACAAATATGCCACAGTCCCCAGGAAAACAAGGCTCATTCACACCTTCTGCCATGTCAAACCCAAGTGCTTTCAAGTCTATATCCTCCTGTGAAAACAGCACCAGCAGATCTTTACCGAGCAGGGAGGAGAAACAGCCAAGTCAGGCGCTCGGTCCTTGAGGAGAGCCCTGTCAGTGTTGGTCCTGGTCCTCCACTGGGGCCTTTGCCTTTCATGGGATTTGCCAGCACCACCATGAGACACAAGAGTGATATATAACCCAGCTTGGGTGTTTTGCTGGCAAGTTTTATGTGAACTTGACATAGGCTAGAACCATTTGAGAAATGGGAACCTCAACTGAGAAAATGTCTCCCTAAGAGCAGACCACAGGCAAGACTGTAGGGCATTTTCTTTATTAGTGATTGATGTAGGAAGGCCCATCCCATTGTGGGCGGGGCTATCCTGGGGCTGCAGATCCTGGTTACATAAGCAGCATCCCTCCGTAACCTCTGCATCAGTTCCTATCTCCAGTTCTTGCCCTGTCTGAGTCCCTGTTCTTTCCATGATGAACAAAGGTACGGAAGCATAAGCCAAATAATTTCTCTACTTCCCAAGTGGCTTTGGCCATGATGTTTCATCACAGCAAGAGTAACCCCAACCCAGGACAGATGGCTACAGAGGAAAAGATGCATTCTGCCCTGGGGGAGGTAGCCATGAAACAACAGCCGACAGAACCATCCTCCACTCGTTCAAAGTCATGGCACCCAGACAGTGACTAGCACAGCCACCTGAGGCAGCTCACCGTCTCTCTCTCAAACTCCACAACTTCTGTCTCCCACTCCATGGAGTCCGTGTCAATGGCTGAGTCGTGGGAACTGTGGGCCATCAGCTGCCGGAACCGGGCCTCCTTCTCCAGCTGGCATTCCATCTGCTCCCTGAGAACAACAAGAGCTGTGGCAGTGGCCTTTTGAGGGGGAAACATCTGACTGACTCAGCACCAAACTAAGGCAGCCGCTCCAGAAAACAAAGTGGGGCTTCTTCACCCTGGCACTCAGCTTCCTGATAAGCTAGGTAAAGCTTCCTGGAATTATCACTGGGTTTCCTTAGTAGCATTTTTGAACCTGAAATTCTCCCAGAGTGGGTTTCTATACTGTTTTTTGAACACAGAAATCCTCCCAGAATGTATCTAGCAGGATAAAGCAATTCAGATCAGAGGCTCAGAAATGTAGCACAATGGTGGAGTCTTTACCTGGCACAGACAAGGCTCAGCAGCAGGGCTGTGCTCTTGCTTTTCTCTCTTCCTTTTTTTTTTTTTTTTTTTTTTTTGTAGACCAGGCTGGCCTTGAACTCACAGAGATCCACCTGCCTCTACCTCCTGAGTGCTGGGATTCACCATGGCCCAGATGGTTAGTGTTTCTTTCTTTCTTTTTTTTTTTTTAAAAAAAAAAAACTTTTTCAAATTTTTATTTCTTAGGTATACAGTGTTCTATCTGCATGTATGCCTGCAGGCCAGAAGAGGGCACCAGATCTCAGTACAGATGGTTGTGAGCCACCATGTGGTTGCTGGGAATTGAACTCAGGACCTCAGTGCTCTTAACCTCTGAGCCATCTCTCCAGCACTGGTTAGTGTTTCTTAAAAACAAATTATGGGTAGGAGATATGTGCGGGTGTCTACAGCAGCCAAAAGCACTGGGTCCCTGTTACTGGAGTCGCAGGAGATGGTGAGTGCTGACGTGAGGGCTGCGAGCCAAATCAGGTCCTCTGTAAAAGCAGTGCATTCTCTTAACGGCTGAATAATCTCTCCAGGCACGGTGTTAGTCTCGACTGTCAACTTGATTGAACTGAGGAATGTCTTGACTAGTAACAACTGTGGATGTGCCTCTGAAGGTGTCTCTAAAGCAGTGGTTCTCAGACTTTATTTAACACAGTTCCTCGGGTTTTGGTGACCTCCAATTACAAAATTATTTTTGTTGCTATTTCATAACATATTTTGCTACTGTTATGAACCGTAACATAAATATCTGATATGCAAGGTATCTGAAATCATCCCCAAAAGGGATCATGACCCACAATTTGAGAACTGCTGCTCCAGAGACAATAAGACAATGAGAGCTCTGACTTAATCTACAGGCTAAATCTTTTTTCGTTTCCTGATATGATAGCATTATTGGGAGGTGGTGAGAAGTAGAAAGTGGGACTCTAGAAGAAGTAGGTCACTCGGAATACGTCCTCGGGGTCAATCCATACCATGTCCCCACTCCTCTTGAAATCCCTTTTCTGTTTCTGGGACTCCAGTAAGTGAACAGCTGTCCTCCATCAATGTCCCCCTCACAACCCCATCCTGCCCAAAAAATGGGAGCAGGCAACCATGGACTAATATCACCAAAACCATGAACCCAAATAAATTCCTCATCTGTTGGGTTATTTGTGGCAGGTATGATGTCACATACACAAGAAAGGAACCTTTTAAGAACATTCACACAAATGCAGGAGGAAGAGATTTAGGCACCTAATGCCATCTTGGAAATGAAATACAAAGTGAGAGATGGTAACACAGCTCAGTGGACAGACATGGATGTAGTGCAAGCCTGATGACCCAAGTCGGAGCCCTGGAACCAAATTAAAGAGCTGGATGTGGTAGCGTGCATCTGTAATCCAGGCACTCCTACAGGGAGATGGGAAGGAGAGAAAAGTCACCCAGAAGCTTACAAGCCAGCCAGTCTTAGAGCAGACAGCATGCAGAAATAAGAGAAACGTGTCTCAGCAAGAAGGTGAGAGAGAACTGACTCCTCTCTCTCTCTCTCTCTCTCTCTCTCTCTCTCTCTCTCCCTCCCTCCCTCCCTCCCTCCCTCCCTCCCTCCCTCCCTCTCTCTCTCTCTCTCTCTCTCTCTCTCTCACACACACACACACACAGATAAAAGTTTTAAAAATTATTATGTGAAAAGTCATCCAACTTAAAATTTTTAAAGCATCTGCAATGGAGCCTACGTGGTAACACTTGGATCAAAGTTATGGAATGAGTGCCCCAGAAATACCACCAAATGATGCAAAGGTACAAAAGTAATTCAATAGGAAAGACTTGAGCAGGTCAGCATCCATAACTTATAAAGAAGAGAGATGGGGGTGGAGAGATGGCTCAGGGTTAAAAGCACTGGCTGCTCTTACAGAGGACCTAAGTTCAATTGTTCAGTTCCCGCACCCACATGCTGCTCACAACCATCCGACTCCAGTTCCTAGGAACTGGACACCCTCTTCTGGCAGCTGCTGCATCGCACTCATACAGATACACACATATACATTAATAAATAATAAAGTAAATCTTAAACAAAAACTTCCCTTCAACTAAACCTCTCATCTTTTTTAATTAACTCAAAATATATTGATATATACACACATATATATATAGTTGAAATACTGAAAAAACAAACAGAACCCAGTGCTTTGTATGTCTTCTGGCTCAAGCAATATGCAAAACCTCCTTCCAAACCATACTCTGGAGCTTCCAGAGTTTTCCTTAAAATGGATCTTTCTTTCTTTTTGATTTCAGTGCTAAAAGAAATGAGAGTCTTACACACGCCATGTTCTACCAATAAGCTGCATCCCCACCTGATGGGATCCCGTACCTGATTCCAGCCCTTGCTCCTGTCTCTGGAGCCCTGAACTATTCCTTAGAGTACCCAGCTCTGCTGTAGGTTATTAAATAATGAAGCCACTGATCTTAACAGATCTCAAATGGGAGGAAGGGAAGCTGCCACTCCCTCCTGAAAGGACTCACTCACTGTGTGAGGCTTGGCCGTCTGCACGTGCACACGTGAACTTGCCCACTGTCCTCCCATTACACCGGCTCTGGAGCTACCACATGGTGAGCTGAGCCTCTGCCTCCCAGGCAGCATCTGAGTGCAGACTCTAAGTTATTGGAGTTTCTATTTTAAACTGTACTTTATAGTTTCTATTCATCCAAGTGCCACCAAATGTCCAAATGACCCTCTTGGAGGGTGCTGTGACTCAAAGGCAGGTGCCCAACTCCCCACACAGCCTTCCAGATGGGCATCTACAGAACCCAGGTAGAGCAGACTACCAAGCCACAGTTGTAATTCTCTGGAAAACTGTCTGCTGTTACTTCGTTCACTTAAGTATGTGCTACTCTGGGGTGGGGGGGAGGGGGGTGAGGGCAGGCTGACTTTCTCTTCCTGTGCACTTTTAGCCCAGTTTCTACAGCACGGTGGTCTAATTGGTGTTATTTGCTTTGTGCCTCTAAGGAATCAAAGCAGATACTCAATACACTTTGTGTTGCGTGAATAAGGAAATGAATGGACTGCAAATGATGTTGGCATGTTTGTCCCCAGAAGGACATCCCATGCCATGTGCCTTCCATGAGCTATCAGCGGATTGGTGCCGTCTTCTGAGAACTGTTGGCATTCAAACCCACTCTATAGACTGCACAGTGAGGCGGAGTGAAGGAAAACAGAGACGCGTCCCTCCTCACTGCACTCAAGGCTGCCTCACCCAAAAGGCAGAGGGGACAGCCTACGCACAAGCCCACTCCACACTCGTAACACCCAAGCCTACTTGAGCTCCTTAAGTTCACGGCTGACATCATTCTTCTGTTTCCGGGTGTCGTCCAGGCTACGAAGGGCTTCAGCCAGCTCACTCACAGCCCGGTCCCGCTCCCGCCTCAGATTGTCACACAGAGTCCTGGTAGAGAGAGGAGAAGCCACGGTCACTGCGAATGGCAAGAATGCAGAAAGGGCACGTGGTCTGTACACCACCACCTGTCAGCCCCTATTCCTCAGGTTCAGCCTCATCAAACACCCAGACCAGCCCACCACGTAACCAAAGACACCAGTCAGACCTCAATGCCATGTCCCTGGGGCAGAAGGCCCATGTTCCACAAACTCACCCTTCCAGCATGAGTTTTGTGGCAGTAGAGCTCCCCCTGGTGGGCTTTTGTGCTCCAACACCCACGAGTTCCTTAACAGACCATATGCAGGGCTTTCTAGCCATGCCACTACCAGGCTGAGGAACCCTGAGCCAGTACTCAGTCCTCTGTCTATGTAGTTCTGTTTAGGTGCAATGTGGAAGCCCAATGGAACTCCAAAAAAGAAACCCAAATTTCCTCCACCTAGAAGGATACACAAGCCCATAGCAGAAGAGCCTGTGCTTGGCCATCTCCAAAATAATGTGCCCTCCAGTTGGTCCCCATGCCTGCACAGCCTGAAACCTCCACCTCCTTGACCACAGCCAGCTCGGGATCCCACTCTGGAAGAACAAGATCCCACTCTTGGAGAGCAAGACACAGCAAGAGAACACAGGAAGCACCCTAGAGGCCTCAGCTCTTGCCACACCGCACACCAAGCACCCATCATCCACCTTCAGTTCCTGACCCTCCCTGATAGGGCACAGGTCTGATCCTTTCATAGCCTAGGGGCGGGGGGTTCCAGAGTCCCTCAATGACCAACTCATTGTACCACCCCCACCATCCCTGGTTCTGCCCCAGCTCAGGATCTTGCCTACGCTCCTCAGCTTCCAGTCAAGACCCTCAGAACCCAAACTCAAGGCCACTGTCACTCTCCTCCTTGTGATTTCCCAGACCAGGATCTGGCCACATCCAAATCCCTCTCCTCAGAGAGCATACGTGTGCCCCCTCCACCTACAATGTCCATACTTCCTCTCCTTCCTCCTAGCTTCAAGTTCTAGCTCAAATGGCAGTGGGCCTTGTCTCCCCCCGTCGCACCCCTGCTCCGGAGCCCATTCTAGGCATAGATACATGGCAGTCTCCTCGGAACTCTTGCCATTCAGGAACCTAAGATGCGGACACAATGGACACAGCACAGAGAGGAAAAAACAACAGACACATTCATACAAGTTGCTTCTATCAAGACCTTCAAGAGAAAGGTGGATTTGACCCGGTCATAACACACACTCAAGATGCCCAAAAGTGAAGCAGAAAAGAATTACAATAGAAAATCCTAAATACAAGAGACGAGGCAAGAATGAGCTAAGGGGGAGAAGGAGGTGCTGTAGTCCCTGCCTTTTTACCTGGACACATGGCCAATGACCCTACCAGCAGACCTCAGTGTTCAAGAGAAATACAGGACCACACCCATCCAAGAGCACCCTTACCGGATGCTGTCACGCTCTGCCACAATCTTGTCCCGCTCCTGAAAGGCCCAGTCCCGCCGGCACTTGGCCACATCTGCTTCCTGGAGGGCTTCCTTCAGCTCCTGGCACAATGCCTTGCACTGCTTTCGGAGGATTTCCACCTCTTTGTTGGCTCTCCCAGCATCCATGGTCACTGTGTCTTTGATCTGAGGGCAAGAGGTAGGTGAAAGGGGTTACCCAGTCTTCTGAACTAGAAACCTAACCAGTTCCAAAGTGGAGGCTCTGAGTTTCAAGTGAAGCACTGAGCCCAGGCACTTTCATCTGAAGCATAGCAGCATCTGTCTCCCTGTAAGGCTCTTCCCCTTTGCCCAGGATGCTGGCCTCACTGCGCACAGGAGGTACACATGCACAGAGAACCAGTGTTAGAGAATGGGGGGGCTCCCATCCACCTCTGCCTCCACTTGATTCCCACTGGGCTTCTCCAAATTGCCAGCCTCTGAAACGAATCACCCAAAAACACTGCTCTTCAGACACTTTAGTAAGACGGGGTAGGGAGATTAAGACAACAGTGGAACTAGGGAGCCAAGACAGTCCAGGCAACTGACCTCTAGCTGACCCCTCATTCTGATTAATGACACACTGCAGGACGCCAGCAGTGACTTGCCAACAGAACAGTACTGCCCTTGCCAAGAGACCACCCTTGCCGGTGCTTCCTCTCTGCCTTCTGCTGACCTCTACACCAGGTCTCAGCCTCCAGGACTCAGCCTGGGGTCTCACCCTGATATCCTTAGTGGTCCTGTGGCCCCAGGTACTTGTGATGCATGGCTATTTCAGAAACTTCTCATCTAAAAAGGGGCCATCAAGAAGGGCTGCACCCCAGACCCCAGCAGATACACTGCCCAACCAAAGGCCCCAGCTGTGTGTCAGAGAACATGACTTCCAGGCCTGACAGTTTTGTTTCTATTTGGACACCTTCCCTGTGGCAGGGCCCCTCTAAAGCACTATCTTGCTGTTCTGCCTGCACAGCTGAGCTCAGTTCCTCATGCAGACATAGCTGTACCCAGAGGCAGTGGGAAGCACAGCTGGCCAGGGTATCCCAGATAGCCCTTGTATGGCAGGGCACTCCATTTAAGTAAGCTTGGACCTGGGAGAACTTTGCAAAGGCAAATCACAAGACACTCTGTGATCAGGAATCCAGACGAACTGAAAGGCCTATTCAGCTGACCTTGGACAGGTGGCCAAACAATGTGGTTATCATTCCCCAGGGTCACATCACACCTAAGGACCACAGCTCTGGCTTCCTTTTGGCTAGTGTCAGTGGGGCGTGAACCTAGAACAATGTGCAGAGAAGTGCAGAGAAGTCAATTCAAGTGGCTGCAGGAGGGTCTAAGGCAGGGGATTCTCCCCTGCTGCTTGGTGACTCAGAACAGCGCCTGGAAAAAGATTCCTGCCTCAGCTGACAAGCCACCTGTCACCCAGCCAACACCCCCTGCACAGGCCCAGGGGACTCAGACTAAAGGGCATGCCTGATTGCCTGAGTGCTGAGTACCTAGGGCTGAGGGCTGTGGCTCAGAGGTCAAGCCTCTGCACTGAAGAGGCCAGCACCAGGGGGTACTGGGTGATCTGCATATTATTCTGCGTGCATGACCATAGCCTACTCGGGTAACTTCTGAAATCTGGAGATCCTATGGAGCAGGCTTGCTGTCTTATCACGAGGTCACTCAGTAGGTGTCCAACCAGTCTAGTGACCAATTTAGTCATTCTCCAAAGTGTCATTTTGTTTTGCTTTGTATTTTGTTTTGTTTTATCTTGTCACTGTGATTTCCTAACCTGATATTACATCTCTGTTTTCAGCAGGCACACAGTCAGATACTAGGACACAAATAGGAACAGGTGGGCTATCTAGGACATTAACCAAACTCTAGTGCATTAAACTGACTTATTAAAAGCTGCTTTGCGGATGTGCATGGTAGTGCATGCCTGCAATCCCAACACTTGCACTCAGGAAGCAGAGGCACATCTCTGAACCCAAGGATAACCTACCTGCTCTATACAGAGAGTTCCAGACTAGCCAGGACTACAAACTGAGACCCTATATACAAGAAAAAAAAGAAAGAAGGAAGGAAGAGAGGAAGATTGGTTTTATTTACATAATTCTTTTTTCTAAAATTTATCAACGTCAGACAAAACAGGTATCTCAATGGTATAGCAAGTGATACTGAGAGCGAGGCCCTGCACACACACAGAGGGAGAGAGAGTGGGGGCGGGGGGAGATAGAATGAGAGAGAAAGATACTGAAAAAAAAACAGAGACAGACATACATATACATGCACAGACACACATGCACAGATTGAGACATACAAATATATACACAGACACACACAGAGAGAGAGACATACATGTATACACCTACACACCTACACACATACACAATGTTGTTGTACTACATGTTCCTCTTGGCACTAACCTTCACCCAACCATCTGGGAACATCAATCCTTCTGTATGGATTGCCATGACTGGCCCATTTTACCATACAAACAGTTGCATAGGGCTTGTGCTCATCCTAAATGGGCAGTGATGAAAAAGACTCCTATCACTATAACTCCACGAGGATGTAACTGCTAACCATGTTTTCTGTTTGTATCACCTGAAAACCATCCCTCTAGGACAAATGTGACTATCACAGCCAGTGTGTAGTGTGAGAGACAAGAGGCCATGAAAATGAGGAAGGCTCACACTCCAGTACAGAGCCTCAGTCCCTCCCCCTCCTCACAGCCCCAACTTCTACCTGAGCATAGAAGAATTCAGTGCAGGCAGAAAGGCTAATGATGGCTAATCTTGGTTGTCAACTTGACACACCTAGAGTAGGGAAATGCAACTGAAGAATGCCTATAACAGACTGGCCTGCAGGCATGCCTGTGGGACATCATTTTCTTTAATGTATTTTTTAAGATTTACTTTTATATTTTTGTGTGTGAGTATGTTGCCTGCATATATGTATGTGCACTGCATGTGTGCCTTGTGCCTACAGAGGCCAGAAGAGGGCACTGGATCCCCTACAATTGGAGTTACAGATTTTTGTGAGCCAACATGTGGGTGCTGGGTCCTCTGGAAGAACAGCCAGTGCTCTTAACTGCTGAATCACTTCCCACCCCTGTGAGACATTTTCTTGATTGCAAAGTGATATCAGAGGGTCCAGCAATATGAGCAGTACTGTCCCTAGGCAGGTGGGCTTGAGCCATATAAGAGCTTGATGTGGTCCTGGGAACAAGCCGGTAAACAGCATTCCTCCAGCGGTTTTTCTTGAAGCTCTTGCCCTGCTGAACCTCCTGCTCAGACTTCCCACAATGATGGACTAAAACTTGGTAGATGAAATAAACCCTTTCCTCAACAAGTTGTTTGGGGTCATGTTGTTTATCACAGTAACAGAAAGCACACAAGACAGGTATCCTGGCCACCACATTCCCACACCACCCACCCTGCCTCATGCCCGGTACACAGTGATCTCTGTAGAGCACCCTGCCAAGCTTCCTGACCCTGCGTTCTGTTTCCCATGCATCCCTTTGTACCCTAACAGACCTACACTGAAAATCAGAATCACAGAGTAGAGGCATGAATCAAGAACAGCATCCTAGGTTTAAGACAAGGTCTACGGTTCAACTCCGCAGAAAGCTGTGCACACAAGAACTTTAAACTCCAAAGCGCCCTGAGAAGAAAAGCAGAAACTCCTCTGAGCACACAGATGGCTGGTGGACAAAGGCCCCCAAGAGCACTCTTCTGAACCCATGAGGCCAACAGGTCTACGCAGCTAAGAACTTTGGTCTTGGGACCTTGTTCACAGAGAGTCAGTCTGAGATAATTCAAGATGGTCTGTGATTACTCAAATGTAGCTCTCCACTCTACGAGAAAGAGCAGGACATTTCTCCTATAATCAAACTATGCTATTTTTGAAACAAACAAACAAACAAAGCAATGTCAGTATCACAGCATGAAAGAGACAAACATGGCCTCTTGACGACTTACTATGTAATCATTTTATTTATAGATAGATATAATACAGCCTGGCAGCCTGGGCACCAGAACAAGGTCATGAGGCTGATTCAGTCTTCCTACCCAGAAGGCACTTTGCACCCACTCAGCCGTGCGTGCCCTCTGATGTCTTCCTGTGTCCAGAACAATGGTCAGACACTCTGTCCCATTTTTTCCTCTGGATCCCAGACTAAAGTTAAACACCAAGCCTAAGGTCTGCAGAGGCCTGAGTGGTATTTCACAACCCAGCTACTGATCACCTTCAAAGACAAGCCCCTGCCCCCTCAGACCTTATCATTCAGCCCTCAAGAACTCTATGGCCGCCCTCCGTGCTGAACCACTCCCTACCTGCCGCAGGGCCTCCATTTCCTCGCTGGCTGCCTTCTTCTCAGATGTGCTGCTCTTGAGTTTGGATTCTGCCAGCTCCACCTCTGTCTGTAGCTTGTCCAGCTCCGAGATGACCTGGTCGCGCTCGCTCATGATGAGCTTGTACTCGCTGTACACTGCGTCGCGTTCCTCCTTGTATTTCTCAGATTCCTTGGCGGTTTTCACCTGCTTGCTCCTCAGCTCTGTCAGCTCAGACTGCAGCAGCTCCATCTCCCACTGAAGGTCCTTGTTCTGAGCTGTGGCTTTGCTCAGCTCGTGGTGGATTGTCTCAAACCTGGGGAGGAAAATGCGAGGTGGGAGGGGCAGGAGCCTGCATGTCAGCTGTGAGGCTGTTACCCCCTGCACCAGCCCCACTGTACACAGTCAAGCATGAAGTTTTGACTGAGGTCATTCTCTGCAACCCCAGAGAGAATGATCACAGAGCGCTAGTGCCCTGGGCCTGGAATGTTTCTCAGGCTTTAACACATGCCAGAAATTGAAGTGAGGACTGCATGCTCTCTACTCTATTAAAAAGAACAGCACATTTCTCCTATAATCAAGCTATGCTATTGGGGGGGGGGGGCAACATAAAAAAAAAAAAAACAAAATAATGCCAGAATCACAGCATTGGAAAGGCACACGTAGCCTCATGATGACTCACTATACAACCACCTCATTTTATAGGTAGACCTAGTATAGCCCTGCAACCTGGGCACTTGAACAAGGTCATGAGGCTAGCTCATTCTTCCTGCCCAGGAGGCATCTTGCACCCAAGCAGCATTTCCTGAGATGTGTGCCTGAGAATACCTTAGGGGCTCCAGCACCAAACAGTAACAGTCATGTTCCTGAACGCTGCAGCAGAGACACCTGCCTGGGTCCAAACTGGCAGTTCCTAAATCTACTTATATACAAAAAATTTTCCCAGGAACCCAATGACCACTGTAGAGAACTCACACACTGCAGGAATACTGTCCAGGGTGGTAATCATATCTAAAGCAATGGTCCTTAATAAAAATGAAATTTCAAGGGACATGCTGTGCAGGATATACCTTTCCCATTGGCAAGATGGGAGCCACTATGGAGAGCTAGGTTTAAAAGGAAATCTAGGAGTCTGGGTACTCAGGACACAACAGCGCACTCAGATGAAAGGAAAGGAAATCACTTCAAGGCTAGGGCAGCATCAAGCACAGTGTTCTCACTGACTGGAACAACATAATGTTCTTAGGTGTTTATCTCCTGGAAATCGTACAGAGGAGCAGAAGCCCACAAAAGACAGGAGTCCCAGACAAAAGACACCCATTCCCCCCCCCCACACACACACACTGCCCGACACCCAGCGTGGGCTCCTACCTCCTCAGAGAGAGGGCGCACTGATGCTGCAACTGGATGGCTGTGTCCCTCTGTTGGGTCAACATCTCCGTCTGCTTTTGCAGGCGCTGGTTCTCCTCCCCCAGCTGCTCCAGGCGGCTCAGGTCTGAGTTGTGCATGGCGACCTTCTCGCTGTACCTCTTCCTCAGGGCATCATAGTCCTTCTTGACCACTTCCAGCTTGTCCATGGCTGTGTCATACAGCTTGTTGAGGATCTCTGAGGAGCCGTTGTGCTTCAGCACCTGGGGACCAAGGAGCAATATGGGCAGAGCCGATGTCTCCCTTTTCAAGTGTTACAGAGAACCCCCATCCTAGCACAGGAAGGCTAGAATGGCCAGCCTGAGAACTACCGTGTCTGGAAAGTTCTGTGTTCGAGGCTGCCTCCTGACTGACTGGCATCCGAGAACCTGACAGCGAGCAGTTGTCAAAGTAAGACCAGCCCGTACTGAGACTGTGACTTTGGTCCCTACTAAGCAAAGAGGAACTGTGATCAAACACTTTCTGTCCACTGTGCTTCCAGAGTAGGCGGGGCATATGTGCTGCTGCACCTGCACCCTAGAGATCAACTGCATCCAGTAGAGGAGCTGAGAAACCCGTGTCCTTTCTCCTCCCTCATGCCGACTTTGCTTTGTATCCTATTGCTAAAATTTTAGCCAATGGTGATTATTACATATGGAATCTTATAAGGCTTAGGCAAATCACAGAACCGAAGGATGGTTCTAAACTAAGGACATAAAATGTCCAGTGTTGTTCTAGGCACTAGCAGTGTCGGGCAGGACAAGAAGAGACTGTGCCTTGTGCTCTTTTCATCCCAATGCCAGGGTGGGAGGACCAATGGAACGATATCTTCCTAAATTGATGTAGGCTTCCAAGAAATGAAAAGGGAAAGAGTACAATATGCAGGACAATATTCTCAGGAGCCCAGAGTGAGAGAGTGAGGTTGTAAGGGCGGCTCCCGCCTGGGGATGTCTTTCTAGGAAAGTGATTCCTAAGTGTAGCTAACAAAGAAAAATAACCAAAGATCAGGAATACAGCCAAAGGCATGGACACAAATGCAATGGGAGCAGAACCACAATGTTCTAAAAAGACAGCAAGAAGAGAATGCAAAGTAGGTACAACCAAGTACAAATGGAGGCTTAAAGAAGCATTTACGCCAGGTGGTAGTGGCACAAGCCTTTAATCCCAGCACTCAGGAGGCAGAGACAGGTGAATCTCTATGAGTTTTTGGCCAGCCTAGTCTCCAGAGTGATTCCCAGGACAGGGTCCAAAGCTACAGAGAAACCCTGTCTCAAAAAAAAAAAAAAAAAAAAAAAAAAAAAACCAGAAAAAAAAGCATTCACAAGTTCAAGGCTCATAGAGAAGGCTAAATCTCAAGAATTGAGCAGATTGTGGCAATCTATCAAGCAAAAGAGAATTCTAGAAACGAGCACGGTGGTTGGTGCATGCCTGTCATCCCACTACTCAGGTAGGCTGAGGCGGGAGCAGCCTCTTAAGTTCGAGGTCAGACTGAGCTACATAGCAAATATGTCAGCCATGGCTATGTAGCAAAACTCTGTCTCAAAAGCAGTAAGTAAAATGCAACAACAAAATCCCAAAAAACAGCCAAACAACCACAACAAGAGAAACAGAAAGAATATGAGCACAAGAATGCATCCTGCTGAGAATTACCTGGGGTGCTGTTCAAGGAGAGAGAAACAAAAAAATAAGAACTAACCAACATGAGAAAATGAGTTAACATGCAGGAGGTGGGGCAGGGGAAGTTGCCAGCTTCTGCTGAGAACCTCTCAAAGATCCTTAGCCCTTGATGACTCACCACCTCTGTGGGTTTGCTTCCTTATTTCTCAAATGACAGGACAAAACTGGAAAGGCTGGCTTAACCCTCCGCAGCTCCCACAGCCCAGGAACAACCTTTTTCACCCTGTGGGTCCTGAGTTATCAACACCATCTTTGCAGCCCAGAGGCCCAGACAGTCACAAGCCTGAACTGTGGAACATTTCCTCCAGAGACAGACAGAACATCTACACAGAAGGAACAACTGACTAAAACAACCAGAATCAAGATGGAGAGATGGCTCTGTGGTTAAGAGCTCCAGCTGCTCCTCCAGATGATCCAGGGTTCCAACACCCTCTTCTGGCCTCCACAGGAACTGCACATATGTGGTGGTCATACATGCAGGCAAAACACTCACAGATAAAACAATAATAAACAAATCTTTGGGGAAAAATCAGGAGGGCTAGAGAGATGGCTCAGTGGTTAAGAGCACTTGTGGCTCTTGAAGATCGGGGGTTGGTTCCCAGCATCCCTGATGTTTGTAGCTCCAGCGATGGGAGATCTCACACCTTCATCTGGCCTCTGTGAGCACTTACATGCACAGTTGCACACACACACGTGCGTGCAGACACACACACACACACACACAGAGAAATAAAAACTAGATATATTTTTTAAAAAACAGAATCCCAGAGACTCTCTCTGACACCCCAGGCTCAGATGCCAGGGCTGCAAGTGGCCAAAAAAGCCTGTCAGAAAAAAGTTCCACCGATCTCCTTCTGTCTTTCATTTTTCCTCTATTTGTAAAAATGTAGGTAACCTAGATGTTAAACATATTCCCCTTTTTTACTTCAACTTACTGAATTCTTGGATTACAGCGTGTGCTATGACGCCTAGCATACTCTTTTCAGAAACTGCTCCTTTCAAAGGGAAATTTTAGGATATTGAAATACAAAAACTTATCTACAACATAAAAGGTAAAAAACCCCACTGTATTATGGAAACACCTTTACTCTCAGGAAACATACATTGAGACACAGACAAAACTGTGGGCCAAGCACCATTCTGTCACTAAATCTCCTTTACAAGAGGAGGAGGGAGAAGGAGCAGGAAGGAGGGGTTGGGAAAAGGGAGGAGAAACAGCAGCTGTGGCAAAGACAAAAAAAAAAAAAAAAAAAGCAGGCCCTTCTGGTCCTGATGGCACAAGGCCTGCAATTCTAGCACTTGAGAAACAGCAGCATGATCATCAGGAGTTCACAGCCATCCTCAGAGACTGGCATGTTAGAAGCCAGCCTGGGCCATGTGAGAGCTTGTCACAAATAAAAACCAGCCTGAGAGCTGGGTCAAAAGTTAGTGCACTTGCAGAGGACCCGAGTTCAGTTTCTGGCACCCCGGTCACGTGGCTCACCAACCCCTTAACTACAGTTCCAGAGTATCTGATGCCCTCTCTTGGTGCCTGCACACATGGCAAATATACAAATTCACGCAGGCACACACATATATGCGTACATTTTAAAAAATAATGCATACATTTAAAAAAGACTAAAATGCATACATTTTTTAAAAAGTTTTTTTTAAAGAGGAGATCAAGTTTATATCATTAAGCTGGAAGCTCACCCATGTTGAGGGATGCACGAACTTCCCCCTTTCTCAAGCTCAAGAACAGTTCTTTGGATGGTCCATTATTTTGTTTCACTGTGAGTGGTCACCTAAGTCCCCACTCACCTCTGAGCTACTGTACAATAGTCCAATAGTCAGATTTTTAAGGCATTGCCAGTTCCACTAACTAATAAGTGGACCTTTGTTTAATATTTTTAATGATTTATTTTTATTTTATATGTATGAGTATTCTGTCTGCATGAATGTCATACGCACCACAGGTGTACTTTACCTGTGGAGGCCAGAAGAGGGCGCCAGGTGCCCTGGAACGGGAATTACAGATGCCACCATGCCTTTGTCTTCCAGGAATCCCCATTTTTAAACTTCAGTTTCCCGTCAGTCTCTCATTTCTATCCCACAACCACTTGTATGCTGGGTAAGAATTCTCTACCTGAGCTGCACCAGCCTCTTGGAGCTAGTTTTAAACTCCAGCTACCTTTCCCGGGTATATTCGTCAAAAGGATCTTCTGCCACTACGTGGCTGATGGCATCTTTGATGCCAGGGTTTCACTCTTCTCTATGGCAAAACCCCCAAGGATACCCTTTATAGTTTGTGCTTCAGATGCTTTAAGAGAGCCTCTCCTTCCTAACTTGAGATTATAAGGTTATCTTCTTGCTATGACTTCAAAAATGTAATCAAGATTCACTTTTCCCATTTAAACCCTTTAACTCCTTGAAATACCATTTCTGTACATGGCTTGAAATGGATGCAAATCACTGACCAATGGGAACTGGGCACAAAGGTACAGCACCAACTGAGGACACCTGAACTCTTCAGGAGCCGGCAATGAGCTCCAGAGGACATGGGGACATCCTCAGACTGTGCCACCGAGATATGAGAAGACCATCCCACCAGCACAGGACTCACCATGGTCGACGGAACACCATTGCCTTGCGCCTGTGTCTGGAGAGGGTATGGCATCTGTACTGGATGATCTTCTGTGTTGGACAAATACCTCAGGTACTTCATTTAAGACTGACTTCATATGTTTCACTCTCTAATCCCCCTCTTTCCCAAGCAGGGAAAACCTTCAAAGGCACTGTTGCCATATTCTGAATTCCCCACAAGAGGGCAGCTGTGGGTACACACAGGCTCTCCAGCTTTCCTTAAGAAACACCCATTTTCAAAGCAGCTAGTTTGGTGACAGCGTTACTTCACTATTCCACACTGGACTCTGAGTCTGTACCACCACACTCGTTCTTTACTGAGAATCAGTTTCCCAGACTTAGAGCCAGGTGTGCTAGACAAGCCAGGATGCGGGAATCAGGCTGCCAGGTTATGCTTCCATTCCTGGTTCAGAGAGGTCAGGCCTATGGAAATGTGTACTTATTAGGCTCAGCACAGCTCTGACGATGTGCTGGATTGTAGAGCCAAAAGAGACTGGAGAGACAGTGTAGTAATAGGAGTGGCGGGGCTGCGTCCCCATCACCCCGGCCACCTGCTAGCTTATACCCTGAAATAATTACACAGACACTGTATTCTTTTAAACACTGCTTGGCCTATTTCTATCTAGCCTCTTCTAGGCTAATTCTCACATATTAATTTAGCCCATTTCTAATCATCTGTGTAGCACCACTAGGTGCGCTTACCGGGAAGATTCTAGCCTACGTCCATCCTAGGTCGGCGGAGCTTCATTGCGTGTGGCTCTGAGAGGAGCTGCATGATTTCTGACCTCAAGACAGAGCCCCCAGGGCACAGTGCAGTTCCCTGGGTAAAACCCTGACTGAAGAGGCCTCACTGTTGATAAGCTTGGCTCCACCTCCCTGTATCTCCTGGCCTCTGGCTCACTGAAGCCTTGGAGAGGCATAGGCT